ATAAACTTATATATATTTATATATGTATATACGATCGGAATATACATATTGTAAAGGCAAAATCGTGCGCTTTCATTGGAAGTGACAACAAATGCATTCTTAAGTGATTGAAATTTAACACGACAGTCGACAATCGCATACAGCCAAACGAAAATTGGAAACGAATGACGGGACACATAAACGTTGACTTTGATTGAACATTAGAAGAACTTAGAAGAACGACTATTCTTGGCCGCATAATAGACTTATAAATGGGTGCCACAAAATGCAAAAGAGAATGTTGTAGATGTTGGGTTTGGGGGTATTAAGCCAAGGCATTGTCTCTTGAATAAGCTATATTTAGAAGGGTTCTACGAGTGAGTCTATAAAGACCTCAAATTCGTATCTGAACGACTGCCCATAATTTAGTCAATCATTTGAAACGCAACTTCATTCTGTGCTCCGTTTTGGCACTGCCCCAAAATAAAACCTCCAACAAGTGGCAGCTTCAGTGGCTCTTCTTTTTATCCCCATATGCCTGCCCCATCTGACTGGCACACAAATCACTGACAATCACAGTCAGCCGCCAAGCTTCTGGCAGCCATAAAAAAGTTACATTCGCGCGCGCACGCTCAAAAAAAAAAAGGAATAGCAGGCCCATGGCCCATGGCTTGTGTGTCCTGCATCCTGCATCCATTCGGGAGGTGTTGCTGTTGTGGCCGCGAACAAAAAAAACACACGACCAGCAAAGAATTGACAGAGGCCCCTCCGGTTCGTTTGACTATGGCATTTTTTTGGTTCTTTGTTGTGCTCTTATTTTTTTCCCCACCATTCTCCATTCGCCGGACGATGCCAGGAGAATGCCTGGCAATGCAATCAAGTGGATGAGTGGTTGCCAGACTGTGGGACGTGCGGCTGTATGCGTTGTTTGCTCTGAGGCGGGTGCAAGCTGCAACACCAGCACCCAACGCCCAACACCCAGGACAACAGGACCAGGGACAGTCGAGTAGCGGACCAGGACCAGGACCAGACCCAGGCCTAAAAGGATTAAGGCGATCTGTGTGCAATCCGCGCAATTATCCCCGCATGAAGCACAGGACACCAACTGACTTCGCAATTAGTTGCATCACTCAACACTTTTCTTTCTTTTTGTGTTTTTGGCGCTATTTTTTGTTGTTCACTTTTAGCTACATATGGTGCGGGGCATCCTGCATCCCATCCCTTCCCCCTGTGATGCCACTTTACATTCTCGTTATCGTTTTTGCATTTGCCTTTCGGCTTTTGTGTTGTGTTTCCTCTCTGTACAACGCTGCGTATACGTAGCGCCATCATTTCGCTGTTGATTCATGAATGAAGGAGTGGAAAGTGTGGAGTGTGCGTGGAGCGAGTGCAGTTTTTCGGCTGCTGGTGCTGCTGCTGCTCTTCTTCCACGTGTCCATGGCTGAAGTGGAGGACACTTAAGTGGCCTCCAAATTGGATTCACACTTCACCCATTAAGTGGTGCCCCTGTCTCTGTCGCTGTCGCTGTCTCTGGGTCTCTGGGTCTCTGCTGGATGCTGTTTTTAATGCAGCTTTGTCTGCGGAAATTGTCCATTTAGAGGTTGCTGCTTTGGTGGGGACTTTCTGTCAAAAACAAAGTTCCAGTTAGCAGTCTGACCGGAAGACTGCAACTGGAGACTGGAGAGTGGGGTTCTGTGGCTGTTATGGCGCCTTCTCTGTTGGCGTAGCTCATTCATGGGACATCGAGTGCACAACTGTTGAGTGCGGCAGGGCGGCAGCTTCTTCGTGGAAGTAGTAGTCGTCCATCTTCTTTCTCTCTCTGATTACATTTGAGGCAACATCCCCATCCCCCTTGCCCATTCCATCTCTCTGTGGAAGCATAGTTTTGGCTGCCACTTGTTGGATTTTAAATTGAAATGCCAATGCTCAGTGAATGCTGAAACTACTGCTGCTGCTGCTGCTCCTGTTACTCCTTCTGCTGCTACTCCTGCTCCTCTTGTTTCTCCTCTGTGTATGCCATGTCATCATTTGCTCTTTTTCATGGCTAAAAAATCCCCCCACTCCCCCGTCAACCATTCATTGTAAATTCAACTAAATCCATGAATAAAATGTTTACTCCAGCTCTCCCTTCCGTCCGTCTGTCTGCCTGTCCTGCCATGCCACGTTTTATTGCACATCGTTGTGTAGTTAACAATTGTTGCATGCCACCCTCTCTCTGTCCCTCTCTCTCTCTCTCTCTCTCTGTCTGTCTTTGTTGCTGTGGCGCATCCTTTGGCTTTCTCTTTCTAACCAAATTGAATTTCCGAATTCAATGAATGAATGAATGGGCGAATGAATTGGTTTAGTTTTTAGTTGTTTAGCCGGTTTATTTTTCCTCTCTCTTCTGCTCCCTCTCTCTCACTATCCCTTGTATTTGTGTGTGTTGTTGCATACTTTTTGGCTGCCACCTGTTGCATGTCTGCTCCAGTTAACGTTTACATAGAGATATGTATATGTATATATGTTTTGGCTCTGTGCCTGTGTGTGGTGGCATTTATATTATGCCATCAGTTGAATGTCGCTTGGTCCATGGTCGACGACACCCACCCATCCCGCCTGTTGGCTGGTGGTTGGATTACTGATGTTGTTGCTGCTGTTTGTTGCATCTATTGCTGCCACAGCTTCTGCTGCTCTAAATGATGGAGCTCTGCTGTTGTTGCTGCCTTTGTTGCATCTATTGTTGCAGTCGCTGCAACTGTTGCTGCTATGCTAGATGCTGCTGCTGTTGCACCTGTTTTTGTTGCATCTTTGGCTGTCGTTGTTGCTTCTGCTGCTACTTCTTCTATTGCTTTTATTGCTGCTGTTGTTGTTGCAGCAGCTGCAATTTCAATGTCCTCTACACCTACCCCTTCCTCCTGCCTCGCATTACTTGCTGCCTCTTTTTTCGTTGATATTTTTTGTGGCTCTCGGCAATTGTTTAGGTTTGTGTTGCTGCTGCAGCAGTTTACTTGTGCGGAAATTGCATTTCTCGGCATTTTACATTTCAATAAATTTCGCCCGATGCCCCATGCTCCACTGCCACAGTCCCTGCCCCTACTGCTGCTTCGGTTCTCGTTTCTGTTTATTTTTTTATGTCGCTTTGGCCAGAACTTTATTTATATTAAAAACATTTTTATATACTTTTTTTCTCGTATTTTTTGTTGCTTAGAATATTTATTTGACTGCATTTCTTCGCTGCGTTTTTTTATGGGGCCGTAAATTTGTGGGTTTCTTTTTTTTGGGTAGATTAGGCTTTGGCCTGAAGTGATGGTCGTAAAGCAAAACCAGAAATGAAAATGTGATGAAAACTATTTGCAGCAGTGATAAAAAGCCAATTGGATGAAGGGGAATTGAAGGGGCTGCATTCTACCTACGTAAGTCTGGATATGGAAATATCTAACTATAAAATCGTTTATATTATGGGATTTTCGTTTGAACTTTCTCTCGCAGGTTGTAGTTGCAATCCACTCATAGCATTAATTGGAGATATCTTTTTGCAAATTTTCAATAAAATATCTTTGTCATAAAGACAAAATGAAAGTAACTTTCTAATAAATGGATAATTGGAGGATTCAAATCTAGATACATACAGCCAAGTAAATAAGCCCTGTTAATCGAATAGTTAAACTAAGATTTAAAAAATGTATACCAAATGATTTAGCTCTGAGAGTGGAAATTGTAAAACGAAAGGGCTTTCACTTACATTTGTGCATTGATATGAAAATATTTGACTTACAAATATTTCATAAATATTTGTATACTAAGATTTAAATGTTCTTTACTTAGATCAAATATGATAGATCAAATCTCCGTAAACTCTATTTTATTTCAAAATTTTTTACTTAAAAACCTAATATTTAAATTTTTAATAATTCTTTTTTTTATGCGTTGTTTTCTGATTGTATGTAGATACCTATATTCTTAAGTTAAGACGCCTAATAGATTCTCTTCGACTCTATTCGAACCGTGGCTACGATCCGCAAGAGTTTTATGCAACTTACATTTCCTTTGGCAGGATACTGCTCTCGTTTGTACTGCCGAATCCTTAAAATTGGAAACATTACGTTTTAAATGGTTGCAGCAATCTATATACGTTTGCTGCTACCAAAGAAAGACAGCAGCACCCAAGTTGATTGAAACATTAATCAATATGTCTTCGTAGCTCAGCAGTATCTGCTGCTAGTGCTGCTGCCCCCACTGCAGACACCACATATAGATTTCCTGTCATAATTGAACCCCAATCAAGACAAAAAATTCACCCACAAAAACTTTTTACTCCCCCAAAAAAGCAGGTATGCAGGCAAGGTAACCCTTCAATCGGCACGGCCGACACCTGCAATTAGCAATTGGCAATAGTACGAGAATCCAAAACAGAGAGGGTTATGGTCTCTCCAACATAAGCACTTAGCACATCAATTATGGCAACTTTAGTTGGGCTCCCTGCCCTGCCAAGCCCTGCCCTGCCAACCTGCCAACTGCCCAAATTCATGGCAATTTCCTTTCCACCAATTGCACGGCTGCACTTGCCATTCGAAACCCTAAAAAACCTGAACAAACATGCAATCAAATGCAATTGAAACGAGGAGCTGCTGCAAAAGAAACAAAATTCGTATTTCGTGTTTCGTTTTTTGGCCGAAAACTGTGCGGCCAGCCAATCAGAATGCATGCGGGGCCGAAAAGTGCATACGAAAGCGCATTAGAGCGAGACAACGATAGCACGAACACACATGTGTGTATGTGTGTGTGTGTGTGTGTGTAAGGGGGGCATGCACCCACGCCAAAAAAAAGAGACCCATGCAACAACAAGATGACGGCCGAATCGAGACGAAACGACGAGCCGAATGAGGCAATCGAATTTGTTGCTGCCGCTGCCTCCTCTAATTTGTGCCTCAAACGAAGGCAGAAACCGACGACAGCCGCAGATTCTATGCCACAATTGACAGACAAAAAGTTCGAGTACACAAACGGATACTCTACGAGGGAATCATATCCAGAAGCATGCCCTTCGTATGCAGATTCCACATGAGCATGTGAAACGAAACACATGCTAAATTTTATTGAAAACAATTCAAACTAAAAATAATTAAATTCATGTTATACCGATACATTAAAACTACACAAAAAAACCAGCTTCAATCTTTAAAAAATGGCACATCTATGCCGCCCCTTTTTCATGCATTTCCTTGTTGCGTTTGTGGCATTCGAATTTTCTGATTTATGTGATATTATTTGGCGCATTAAGTCCAAAAATATTTGATTCACATTGTGATGCAACTTGGCCGAAGTCTCCACATAGGGGACGCGCCACTTTTGAGCCATCGCCTGGCACTCGCTCAGCGGCACCTTGCGCTCCTCCTTCAAATCGCTTTTGTTGCCAACCAACAGAAATGGTACGCTCTCATCCTTCTTCAGCAGCAATACGAGCTCTCTGATTTCCTGGGTAGCCTGAAAGCTTTTCTCATTTGTGACCGAGAAGACACAGAGGAAACCATCGGCACGGCGAAAATAGCTATCTCTGATCACGGCATGGACCTCCTGGCTGGCCGTATCCAGTATATCGATTTGTGCTTCCTCACCATCCAGCTGAATGGTCTTCCTATAGATATCCGCCTTGGTGGGCTCGTACTCATCGACATATTCGTTGTACATGAACTGTAGTGTGAGGGCGGACTTGCCCACAGCACCACTGCCCAACATAACGACCTTGTGAAGCTGCGGTGTTACCACTTTGGTCCGACTGTGGCTCCTCATTTCGGTCATTGTTGGTAGAGAGAAATTATATGTAAGAGTGTAAAACAGTTATAGTCTTTGACAAGAATTTCACAGACAAAACCAGTCCCCATTCGTAGAGTGGAGAATATACGATTCGGAATAGATATTCGTTGCTCGACAAACGTCTGATCAAAATCGTTATACCCCTCGCCAAGGATACAAAAAGACACTCCTCCTACTTGGTGCGTGTTTGTGTCTGTATGGCGACGTATTGATGTTGTCAGTATGTAAATTGCCATATGCGACAAGTTTTCCCTCAACTGCACAGCCTTCTCCTTCTCCACCCTTGGATACTCTCTCTTCTGAACACATTTCTTTTCAACTTTTTCTATATATATATTTTTTTTTTGGGGTAGGTTAGGTTTTGAATTTGGTTTTGAGGGGTTGAGGAGAGTTGCTAATGGTTCAGGGGAGGGACAGCCGAGAGCCTGTCAACACTGCCTGCTTAGAATTGTCCCACTCATCTGTGTGTGTGTATATTTCTATGTGTGTGTGTGTGTGTGCTGCGTATGTCCTCGCATTTAGTGCAATTCATTTACATTTCAACGTTGCCGGCCCTCCTACCTCCTGCCTCTTCGGAGCTACCACCATTCTTGCCACCGTTCTAGCAATTTTTTGGCCCCTAAGCACGCAGAATTGTGGCCAGTTGCATGTCCCCCTACACACACACACAAAACAAGAGGCGTAAGGGGCCAGCCAAACCCCGAAAAAAAGGGGCTAAACTGTACTCCGTTTACCGTTCATTTCCACGCATCGCCCTGCCTTCCTTTTCCCAGTTTGGTCGCTCCTTCTGCGCTTTTTTGTGTTTGTGTTTCCTTTGCCTGACTTTTGGCTTTTGTTTCTTCTGTTGTCCTTGTGCTGCACATATTCTGACCAATTTGTTGTTGCGCCCAGGACATGTGACGCCGGCCGGCACTGGTACCGGTGGTACTCTTTTCTGTATTCGCGAGCTTAGTATACTCCTCCACCTGGAGGCATCCCCATCCACCCCCCAAGTGGCAGTGGAAGTACGTTGACATTAGACATAACTCAAAATGTTATGCAAAATACGATGGCGTGTCGCGGTGGGCGAACCAAACCAAAACAACAACAATAACGAAAAATGAAGTAACCAGAAATAGCCAACAATATGTTGAATTTCTAATTAAATGTATTTTTAGGGGAGTTTTTAAGGTACTAAAAGTAAATTCAGCTGTTTTAAATGGCCAAACCTTTCAGAAAGTACTTTTCAGATCAAATAACTTGCTTGGATCGATTTAAATTGAATCCGTTCAATTGTAAAAGTGTAATATAGATATATAAAATGCTAAAATATTCAACAATTATTGCGTTGTATTCGTTTGGATGTACAATTAAATGCAACAGTGCAATATCCAGGCTGCCTCTAAAATGCTTGACCGACAAGCAATTAAATTGGATCGACGCGCAGTTAGGACTCTCTAATTACCTGTGAACAGTGCCATCTGTCGCCCAACACCTTGAGACGTTCCATTCCCATTCACTATTTATAAAGAGTGGAAAATTGCGGGGCGTGTACGTAATATTACGTATACGCCTTCTGACATTTGGATTATGGCACGCATTACGCCAAAAAAACTTACTACAGAAATGTCAAATGGTTGTAGTGGTTGTTTGTCTTGTGTCAGAAACTTGGAAATGGAACGAGGGGAGCCCTATCTGTGGCATGGTGTGCTTTTGCTTGCCACCAACAAAAATTATATCCCTATATATATATGTATATACATTTCAATGCAAATGACACCAACATCCAACAATAGAGTGTGGGAGAGAGAGACACATTATGTACTAGGAATTGTCCCCCTCTCTTCGCAGTACATAATGTATCATCATTACAGTAATTTGCTTATGTAAACGACTTGACAGCGGGACAGCACAGGCCCCCTCAAGGAAATTAAAGGATGGGAATTGAATAAAATTCAATGAGGCTGACATAACAACAACAACAGTAGCAGTAACAGCAACAGCAACAACAACAGCCGGCAGCACAAAAATACAGAATTTTTTTAATGACTTTTGCACGAACATATCTGTACATATAAGCATGTACTCGTGGGTATGTGGTACATAAGGGCCTACCTATCTACCAGACACACACACACGCACACACCAACAGACAGTTGCAGCTGCCATATACGAGTATATGTGCTTATGTACATATATGTGAGCCATATAATGTGGTACATTAATCGATAATTGCATTTTTTTTCGTCCATTCGTTTTTCATTTGCTTGGTTTTTTTTTGTATCACCCTTTTGCAGAGGGTATACTAATTTGTGAATGTGTTAAGAGAATCAAAAATATATTTATTTAGAGAAGTCTGGAAACTCTTTTTAGACCTTTCAGCTCGTTGCAATTATTACAAAAGTCTAGAGATTAGATCATTTAATAAGCTAATTTTGATCAAAATGAAATGACCATCATATCATCTTTTGTTATTGTATTATATCTCCGCGATCATCTCAAGTGATCGACAAAGGGTATCTAATTCTTCGTTTACCTTTTTTCTTTTTCTTTTTTTTAATTTTTCCATTTCTTTTGCCACTTTCCATGCGTTTCCTCTGGCTGTCCGTCCTCTGTGACTCTCTGTCTCTCTCTCTCGCTCTCTCAGGGCGCATGCCATTTGCATTTCCACGTGTGTCCCTCCTGTGTGTGTGTGTGTGTTTTTTTAAATGAGTTTCCGTTTATAATTGCTTAATTTTTCAATTTTTTTCCCCCTCGATGGATATAGGGATAAAGCGAGGCACGAGGTAACTCCTGACCAAACAAAATGAATATTAATCATACGCCCCATTGCGGCCCCATTCACAAATTAGTTCAGGCATTTGGCTTTAATAGCTAACTTTGATTAAACGCACTTTCGTTTTTGTTTTGCCGCTTCTCTGTCCGTCTGTCTGTCTGTCTGTCTGTGTGTCTGTTTGTTTGTTTTTTGTTTGCACACAGAAGGGGCACCGCAGCGACCCTAAAACAAACAAGCAGATAGACAGACAGACAAAGAGACAAACTAACTGACAGTTTGGGCAGACGTAAAGGAAACTTAAACCCAAACCGAAAATGAACTCCAACTCAAACTCAAACTCGAAGCCCGAATCCTATCCGGGGTCCTACCTGACGACATGTAACGTTGCCACGTTGCCTTGAAGACAAACCCCTCGCTCGTGTATGGGTCGTAGGGGAACTGGGGTCTAGAGCTGACGACATGCACTCCTATGCATACAAATATTTAAGTTACGAGCCGCTAAAAAAATTCTATTTAGCATACATTCAGGCACTGGCACCGGCTCCGGCTTGCCTGGTATAATGTGCAACGCAACGCGTCAGACAGTTGCACGAGCGGTGCGCAAACTTCAAAGGTGGAAGCCATAATACCCTGCAGGAATAATCGTGTCGAGGGGAGGCTACATCTGATTTTCTTTTCGTAGATGGGATGGGCTAATACTAATAGAATCTGGGCAAGCTAAAGCCTTACTTTTGGATGTTAAAACTTATAATCTATCGGAGCTCCAGTGGTCGTGGTTCGTTCCTTCTTGAATACATGTACATACCCTTATCTTGGGCTCTAAAATGATGGGCATCTTTGGAGGCAGACCGAGACAACCCAGAGCCTGAAACAGAACGAACCTGCAACAGCATTGAAATCCCGCCTTGCGGCCGTCGGCGTCGTCATCTTCATACGCAATGTGTGTCGCCCAACCACATGCATAGGGAGGCGCACAAACACAGATATACTGATACCAGAACAGAGACAAAACCCCCTACTGCAGCCTGGGCAGACACATTGTGCGTTGCGTGCGTAGCGTGTGTGTGTGTGTGTGCGTGCAACTGGCAGAGTGTTGCAACCCCTGGTTGCATTTTGCAGATGCGTAGGTAGGGTTTCCTTGCGGGAAAGAGCATAAACGAGTAGGAGTATTCGCTTGGCCAAAACGTAATTGAGCATTGGAAAACCAAGCTGGAGATTGTCGTAGAGCACTTTCCTGGGAGAGAAATAAAGATCAAGAATTAGAGAGATCATAAATGTTAACCTTATAAATGTTTAGTTTGAGGCATGGAGCTCTAATGATAAGTTGGGGAATGAAATAAAACAAAATACTTGTGCAGCATAAGGCAATATAAACCATGGCTTGGACGAGTCTTGGCTTAATTACTACACCTAAACTTAGTATGGATTGCCATTTTCCCAAGAGTATTTAAGTGTCGAGTGAATTCTTAATTTTTGCCAGCATTTTTTGCCATGCATGTGTCTGTGTCTGGTGGACTGGTTGCATTTTAAAGTTTGAGTTTCCGCAAGTCCCGTGCGTGCATTCACCTCGCTCTTTTTTCGCCGTTTTTCGGTGCGTGTGCGGCAACTTGGTGGGGCGTGCGGTGCAGTGCTGTGCTGTGCGGTAAGGTGCGATGGCAACGTTGATGGCGGGCACAACCCCCGAAGCGCTGACGCGACGGCGACAACGACAACGACGACCCTGTTTATTTGAGCGCTTAAAAAAGCGGAGCTGCAACAACAGCAACTGCCTGCCACTGCAACTGGGAAAGCAATGCAATTTTTACACGGTAAAAGTTTGAACATGCCGCTCCACTTTCGCGCCGGAATGAGCAGCTGCAGCTGCAATGCGTCCTCCTTCCCCTCTGCTGCTGCTGTTGTTGCTGACTCACTCTGCTGCCCCACTTCAGCCCCAAAGTTGCAGCTGCACGCACCGTACGCACGCACTTGTGCGCAATCAGGACGATGAGGCAGCATTGGCATCAGCGACAAGGACATCCTCCCACACACTAGTTAGCTGCGGCGCTAGAATTTCCCTCATTTGTTTTTGTTTTTGGTTTTCTTTTTCCCAACTTCCGGTTCCAAATGCAGTTTTTTTCGGTCTTGTGCAGAAATGCACTAAAAGTGCCACAAAATGCAGTGCAGTTGCAGTTGCAATTGCAGCCATACCAATACTCCACAAATCCCGTTCGGCCACACCCTCTGTCTTCCGCATTTAATTTGACTTATGTGTGTTTTGGATACCCTCTACTGACAAGATTTCAAGGGTATATTGTATATTTAAAGATCATGATTCATAGCCTCTATCGAGCACAAGTCTCACTGTGATAGATTTACCAAGGAAGGGATAGAGAGAAAGGGAAGGAGGTGCTGCATGCTCACCCGTTAATCTACTCTGTGAGAAAGTAGGAAATCGTTTTCTTTATTCAAGCTAGATCACTGCTTTATTATTCTCAATCTACCATTTTCTTGTGTATTTAAATTCTACCTATGGTTATCGGATAACCAGGGGTATCCTCCAGTCGAAATATTTCCCTGTTTCTGGTTGTGTTTTTTCCCCCGTTTTGCTTCTTTTAATTCGCATTTCGTGTGAGTTGACGCGTAGCCTTTTACCATATGCGCAAAACTTTTGCTTTTGAGGCACGCATGCCTGGCCATTGAAGTGGGCGGGGCTCTCTCCAGGCCGCTGGCACAAGGCGAGCGACCGACCACCTGCATTTTGCATTAAATTGCATAACTTTTGTGGCAATTAGACGTTGGCCTGGCCAAGACGAAGGATATGCCGTAGGAAATGCAAGGAAATGCAGCTGCAAAGCAAATACACAAATCTATCAATTTTCCATTGCCACACGAAGGAGAACTAAACTCCACATTTGTGATCCATGATAATTACGCATACGCAGTGTGGGCCCTTCCTAAGTATAGAGTAAAAGTCCCTCGGACCTATGCCATTTACCTTGGGTTTTTTCCTGACATTCCTCGCCTATACTTATTTTTTCCATAAGGTTTTCTTTTTAATTTGTTTGTTTTTTTTTGCCTATATTCTTCTACAGTTTTCCTTGCATTACATTTCAATTAAGTAATTTCTGTCTGCACAAATTCCCAGGCGAAAAAAAAAACCAAACCGACCAAATCAAATGGAAATGTGATGGAAAATTGTTAGAAAATAATTGCCACCACCGCAGTAATTATAGTCTATTAGGGGGAAACTTATTTAATCCCCCCACCAAACTGCTCAAGAATTTTACATGAATTTATCTTTCTTATTGTTTTGGAATTCATTTGATCTTTTGCAGGCTTAGAACGTGTTGCTGAGGAATTTATGGGTCGCAGGAAATGGAAAAATTATCAAGAGCAAGCGACGCGCAGCCAACTGAATATCGAGGAGCAACAGCCAATAGCTACAGCCGGTTCCGACGAGGACGAGGAACCATACAACAACCACAACCACAACAAGAGCAACAGAAACAGAAACCACTGTAAACCAGAGAACCACCACCACCGTTTAGAGCAGGAGTTTGAGGAGGATTTTGGTGAGTCTTGAAGGGATATTCAACTCTCATTGGGCTCTCTAAAGTATTACCGTTTCTGTGATCTATAGAGAACCAAACATCACACGATTCATCACGTACAGCAACACCAATAAGTATACCATCACCACCGCCAGAACCCAACGATTGGAGACCGTCGGACAAGTGCAATTTCTGTGTTAACGGTCGCCTGCTAACGGTGAACGCCCAGGGCCAATTGGTGGCCGAAACGGTGGCACCCACAGTCCACAACTGCAGCACAAGCAGTAAAAGTCACATATACCACAACGGTCAAGTGAGTGGATCGAAGTCTCAGTCTTTCTTTGGGCTACCAAATTAACCTTAAACTTATTCCAAGCAGCACGACAGTGACAGCAATTCGAGCGCATCGCTGCAGCAACACAGCAATAACAGCAAGTCTGGGGCACGCAACATTGTTGCTGCTGCTGCAAGTGCAACACCAACAACCGGCAGCGGCACCAGCAACAGCACCGGCACCGGCACCGGCAACTCCCTGGAACTGTACAAGCTGCTTACCCAAAGGGCAGCCAAAATGACATCAATGGACTCGATGGCCGCACAGCTGGCCCAGTTCTCGCTGCTGGCGGCTGACTTCAATCTAATGAACTCTCTGGCCAGCCAACAGCAACAACAGCAGCAACATCCGCAACATAACTCGGTAACACCAACTACCTCAGAACTACTATCTGCAGCCGCCATCAGTCCCGCACTCAAAGATACGCCCAGTCCCAGTGCCGATGCCCCGCTCGATCTTAGCAGCAAGCCATCGCCAAATTCATCGATTAGCGGCGATGTAAAGTCCATCAGGTGAGTCCACCCATTCCTCCAATTCCATACCATAAATATATCCGTATATATATTTAAAATACCTATATATAAGCATGTACTGGAACATAAATCTGGCAATCTCTGCGCAAACGCCAAAAAATATTTAACAAAAAAAATAGCCCCAAACACAATACATAAGAAACAAAAAAAAATGCATGTAAAACGAAAAAAGCTGAAAAAAGGTGGAAATTAATATTTATGCAATGCGGAATAACGAATGGGCAATACCCTAATTGAGGAGGAGAAACCACAACTTTGAGACTTTGCTGAAAAGTTTATGTTTCCGTGTGGAAAAGATCTTGTATGATCTAAATATATCTATCCCTATGCAAATTCCACTCAAGTCATAGCCCCGCTCTTTGGAAAGGGTATACATATTTTCACAAAAAAGAAGCACACACACACACAAAAAGAAGGAAAAACACCGAATCGTGTGGCAGACAATACATGAGATAATTGCACTTTGGGCGCCTGCTGGCCCGCCGCCTCTGACACTGCACTTATTGTAGCATACTTAACGGGGCAGGCATGCCACCAGTCCCCTGGCCCAACACTTGTGGCAGGCAGGCTGATGTGTGGATGCTGCAACCGAAGCTTTATTGTTATATGCCTATGTAAAAATTGTGCAATTATAACACTGTGTGTGTGTGTGTGTCTCTCGCTCTCTCTCGCTCTCTCTCCTTCTCTGTTTTTCTGTCTCTGTGTGCTTTATGAAACGATGCCGAAAATTACACATACGCCTCGTGGCGCATCGCATTGGCCCCCTGCCCGCCGCTTAATTACCAGGCGTGTTAGGCAGGTGGGCGGTTAAGCCGCATAAATTTGCATGAAATTTTCCCAAAAAAAAAAGGGGAATACAGGAATGAAGAATACATAAATTTATGTATTCCGTTTTGTGTGTATTGTGGCTGCATCTTAACTCCTTGAGCTGTTCCGCAATCTTTTTTCAATTCGTTCTCCTTTTTTTTTGTGGTTTTTTTGGTCCTGCCATTTTTTTAATTACTCTAAAATGTTCAGGAGCACCTTTTATTATTACTTTGGCTCTGGAATGGAGAGTAGAAGGGAGTGAAAGGATGGGAGTGTGTGTGTTTGGGGCATACTACTTCAGACGACAGATCCCCTTGTTAGTACTGGGAAGCCCAGGCGTCGTGTGCATAATTTTCCAGCACTTTTCCACAATTTTTGTCATTACTCTTTTTTTTGTTTTGTTTTTTGGTTGCGAATTTTTGTCGCTTTCTTTTTTGTGTGTGTGTTCTTTGGCTGATGCAGCGGCGACTGTGGCAACGACGACTGCGGTGGCCGGTGGGCGGTAACGGTGGCTGCCACTTGAGCCGCAAAAGCACCAGTCCTTGTCTATTGTCTAAAGCATGGCCAAGTGTTTGTTAGCAGCCGCCATCGTCGCCGCCGCCATGCACCATCTCGTACACCTATTTTAATTGTCATACACAAAAAAAAAAGTACACTACACACACAACAGCAAAATATGTCGAAAAAATGTACAAAAAAGCAATGAATAAATGGGAGAAAAGGAAGTGTTTGCGGTTACAGTGGGGTGGGGGAGTTATGTGCATAGGCAAAGGAGTGATAACTATAGAATAGACATAAGAGCAATGCAAGGGCTTTAGTTGAAGGACGAAAGCTTCGACAATGTTAGATTCATTGATACGTGGATATCCATTGATTGAATACTTTTCGTTGTAGCCTAATTCCAAATACCGTAAATTTCTTATTCAGAGTTAATAAAACTGTTTTCTGATTAAAGATCGACCCAAAGTATGCCACCAATAAATAAGCCTTAAGCCAGATGACCGTAACTCAATCCCCCTACTGCCTTCTAGGGTACCCCTCTAATGCCCTTATTTCCTGCAATACACCCCCCTAGGAACCTTCTCAACCAGCCCCACAGCCCCCTCAACCACTTGAAGCACAAAAGCCACTGACGCTGCAATTTTTGGCATTTTTTTTCCTCTCTTTTTCGTCAAGCGTTTATTATTACAGATTTTTTTCTCAGGCTGTCGCTGCCGATGCTGTTGCCGCCGCCGCTGCTGCTGCTGCCGAGGATGATGAGACGGCATCGCCACTCCAAGTGGAGCGTTGGAAGCATGCGGCAGCAACAGCAGCAGCTGCAACGTCGACGTCGCCCAGCGCAGCAGACAGAAATGAGTGCATCATATCGATCGCTTTTTTTTTTGCACGCTGCGTTTTACTTTTTTGTGTGTGTGTGGGTGTGTGTGTATTTTTTTCATTTTGGTATTTTTTGGTCTTTCTTCTTTGCTACTTTTTTCTATGCACTTTTCGGAAGGGGTGGGCGGAAGGGAATGGCAGAGGGATTGTCGCTGGGTGTATATTCATTATTTTTCGTTTACGAAAAAATTCTCCCCTGAGAGGCAGAAAGACAGGGAACCCGAAAAACACACACAGAGGGAGACAGCGACAGAGATAGAGAGAGAGCGAAAGGGAGAAAGAGAGATTGAGAGAATGTAATAACTGGCATAGAGTGATGACGTCGACTGCGTCGTCGCTGCGTTAACCATTTGGCCCCAAAAACAAAAACCCCCCAAATGGTAGAAAGAAACAAAAAAAGATGAGGAAAATATACAATGCGCTGCAATACGGCAACAACAAAAAAAAGAGCTTAATGCGTGTGCTCTGGCCATTGTTATACCCCTTGTTACAGGTTATAGAAGGAAGCATTTTATAACCTGTGATAGGTATGTGAGACTAACAGAGCTGTTCGCAGTTAAGCTGAAAGTAAACCAGCGCGGTCTCTCGAGAGAGGTATATTTCTCCATGATCAGTATCAAGGTAGATCCGATAAGTAAGGCACAGCTCAAGAGCTCAAATTGAGAAACTTTTTTGGGTCACGAAATGTTGTACCGATCCCAATATTGAAGAATTTGTAGAAGAATATATTTTATAAAGAAAAACCCTATACCTTTAGTCATCAAATAGAAACTTTTTGTGCAAAAACTGGCCAAAAACAGATTTAATTTAATCGATCTAAGAAACAATTCTCATTGATAAAATGATCCTCATCGATTGAGACCCACATTATGTTTGTATTAATAAGTTTGTATGGATTTGCAAGGGTATCTATGGCTTCGATCCCGAATAAAATCTTTTCCTGTCGTTGTTGTGGTTTTTGCTGCAGTCCAACACATTTTAACGGTTATCTCCAAAACCCATCTCCCACTTTTACAGTTATTTTTGATGCCCCCTACCCCCGCCCACTCCCTAAAAACTCATTTACTTTTTTTTTTTTGTTGTTGGATATACTCCACAATTTTTTGTCATTTCAATGACCGCTGCTCGATTCGGTTTAAATGTCTGTGTTGCTGTTGCTGCTCCCTTTTTTTTGTACAATAATTTTGTGTGCGTGCGTGAATGAACGAGATAGAAAGAACAAAAAATACAAAAATTGAAACGCATATAAGTGTGCAGCAGCGGCGGCGGCGGCGGCAACAGCAGCAGCAGATGGGCAGAGGCGTCAACGCAGCGCAACGCCAGCAGCAGCAGCAGCAGCAGAGGTGGACGAAAATTAAAAAAAAAAAAACCAAGAGAAATGAGTGCATATCTTCCGAAAAAATGCAACTGCTATGAATGTGTGCAGCGTGGCTGTGCATGTGCATGAGTTGATGTATGCATAAGTATACGTGTGTGTGTGTGTTTGATGGGTTACCAAGGGGTGAGGGACTGACAGGGGGGAGGGGTCTGTTGGGTGGCCTGCGCACGCATCAAGTGTAGGCCGAGGCCTGGGACCGGGAGGGCCACTGCATTGGCAACAAAAACCAACATGCAATTGCATTCATACCGAAACACACACACACATAAAAAGAGGCAGCACACACGCACACACACATGCACTTAATGCATTTTTAACAAAATTGCATTCGACGTTGTCAACACACACACACACACACAATCATAGGCATGCAAATACACACACACACACACACATACATGAGGGGAAAAAAAGAAGAGAACCAAAAGAAGGGAAAAAGTCTTGTGCGAAGCTTTCAATACTCTTTTATTGCACGCGGTTCTCTCATCCCCTGATATCCAGAGAACGAGGATCGAGAGAGCAGCAGCAAAAAAAGCTTGTAAGAGTCGTCAAAAATTGCATATAGTATATAAATATAGTACCTACAATATATAATTTTTTCTGATCTGCCTAAAATCATTATACCCTCCGCAAAGAGTATACAAAAAAGCGAAAAAAAAAACCCACTATGGGGGGACAGTTGACGGCATTGTGCGCTCTTGTTGGAGCCAGCGGCAGTGGCAGCGCCAGCACCCAGTCCCAATCCGCACCCTCGTACCCTTAACCATTAACCTCACATTCCATTCCTCCAGTCAAATGCCAAACATTGCCCCCTTCTCCCCATACACCACGCTTGAGCCGCCACTGGCACATTTAGCGGCCGCGTAGCACGCAACAAAATAGGAAGACAGCAGCAGCAGCAACAGCAGCAAAAAAAAAAAACCAAAAAATACAAATAAAAACACACTTGGTTGAAAATGCAAAAATCATAATTACTTGTGTGAGGAGGGTGCGGAGGGGGCCGAATAAATGTTGCTTGGAGAATGATCACAAATGTTAAGCTTATTTCATATTTTAATTGTACATATTTTCATTACTTCCATAATCCCCGAAATTTTGCACTTTGATCAGAAGCATTCTCTGGTGGCAGCTCCCTTCTTTGATCTTTTATAAGAAATCAAAACTCATTAAACCAAATAGAATTTGTTTATTCAACCAAATATATTTTATTAATAAAAGCGAGAACCAATTTGAATGTGTTATGTAGATGGTAATTTAATGTATGTGCGTGTGTTTACTCTTGTATGTGTCAGTTTGTCCAGAGCATATATGAAGGTGTGGGATGAACCGACAAAAATGCAATATTGCGCATAACAACAACAACAACTAAAATCGCTGCAGTAAAAAATGCATTTCTCTGGTATAGCAAAAAGTATAAAAAAACACATACAAACACACGCACACACACAGGAACACGTTAAATAAAAAAAGCAACCCTTTTGCTGCCACAAATTAAAACAAAATGTCAGAAAAATTGCAAACGGCAACGGAAAACGTAAAGAAGGGAACGAGGCCAGGGGGCACCAAAGCTGAGAATACCCTTTCAGAGTTCATTTTTATGGAACTACATAATTGAATTTTCAATTAAATATAGCATAAATAGACTTTGCATGATGATACCTAAAAGAAAAGACTTTAGAAAGAATATTTGGATATTCCCCAAATATGGACTATATTCTATCCCGATTTCGGTATGGTTCGGTTCCTGTCCCACCAAAAAAAAGTCTCGAAAATATTCTTCGATCATGCATAGCAAACTTCCAAACAAAATTCGCAATACCCTTTGGAAAGAGTATGTAAATAAAAAACGAAAAGGATGCAGAAAAACCTGGTTTTCGGCGGGGTTGGGTTTGGGGTATTTTTTTTTTTTTTTTTTGGGTGCAAATGAATGCGCTCCACATGCGTGTGCAGCGGCAACAAATACAGGGATATGTATGTTGTACCTACAACAACTGTAACAGGAGCAGCAGCGACGGCAGCGGCAGAGAAACGTGCTGCAGCAGCAGCAGCAGAGTCAGCGGCTGTTGCAGTGGCAAATTGCAATTGAAGTGCAGCCAAAAGGTAAACGACACCAACAAAAAATCCAAACGACATTGAAATGACATTTTTCATTTATTTTTGTGCGCCATCCTTCGCTTCTGCTGCTGCAGTTGCAGAGGCAGATTGTTGGCTGAGGGGCAACATCCTCCCAAAGGTTGGGGCCGCCGAGCTTCGGGTTTTGCGCAATTATGCAAATTTTTGTGTATATCTTTCCCTCATCCTATTTGGTACTCTTTCTTTTTTTTTGCATTTTCCTTCCCTTTTTTTTGTGATTTTCTCTCTCTGTTTTTTTGGGAAATTATTTTGTGTATGCAAAATGAGCAAAAATGCGAAAAACTGTCGCCATTTAATGATGATGCCCGCCCGCGGTCCATTCCCATCCCAAACCCCAGCCTCAGACCCCAATTTACTTACGGTCAGCCAAAGGGCCGCGCCTCCACTTGCACCTGCCTCGTCACCCCTCGAACCCGCTGCTGCTCTTCCTCCCCCCGCCCGCCGGCAGCTATCACACAGTTTAACATTCACTGCTGCCACCTGCTGCCGCGTTCTCTGCCACATTTTTCTTCTCCCCTGCTGAAGCATTCTTCTGCCTCCGCCGCCGCCGCTGCTGCTGGCCCTCTACTGTTTTCCGCCTCTGCTTCTGCTTCTTGCTGTTTTCCCCATTTTTTTTTTTTTTTTTGTGTTGTCTGCACAATTTTCAGACATTTTCCAGACGCGGCAAGGACTCCTCCGAAATAAAAATGGGGTAAAAAAAAAGTTACGCTCTGACTTTGCCATCAACTTTTGCCAGGGCCGTCTCATGTTGTTCGCCAGGCGAAGGGCGCCAAAAGAAGCTGTGCTGTGCGTTCTGGCTACCCATCTCTTTCTCTATTTGTATATATATATATATATGTACATACATATGTATATATTTTTTTCTCTGTCTCAGCCGACGACAGTCTGTCGGTGCAATGTCCCCAGCCACCCACGAAAAAAAAAGAGAGAGGGTCTCGAGCTCGTCTCGTTTTCTGGATGCGCATAAAGAAAAGAAATATTTCGTACGGCTTCTGATGATGTTGTTCTTGTTGTTTTTGTTGTTGTTACAGCACAAAAGTTGCCTTTTCCTGGGGGGGAATGTGTGGGAGAGTGGCAGGTAGGGTGGTAAGGTTGCACCAAACGTGCACCCCGTCAAGGCAGCGCTTGGCTTGGACTCGCGTTGGCATTAAGTGAAAATGGTTTTGGTACTTTTTTTTTTTGTTGTCGGAAAATTTGCCATTTCTTTCCATTTTTTTGTTTTTTGTCGTTGCAATACCCTTGTTGAAGGTATCTTTATTTAGAGAAAAAGCTTTTCCCACAGAAGAGAGAGAACCGCCGATTCACTTCATTGAAATACCCTTGGAAAGGGTACCTTTATTTTGAGAAAAAGCATTTACGATTAACTTAATTGATGAGCTCTTGCTGCTCATATAAGCAAAATAAATATAAAGATTTTTAAATGGCTCCACAAGGGTATTTGTATGTTCGGTATCACCGAAATCTCTGATTGATTTTTTTTTTGTAGCTTGTTCTTTTTGATATTCGTCTAATGAACTTCAAAAACATGCTTGGTCCCTGGCCTCTCCTACCTCATGCCCTGTCACACCAGGAACCCATTCTTTGTCTTTTCCAGCTTCTGCCAGACTCCTTTTGGGCTGTCATCTTTTGTCTCTGCTGCTGCTGCTGCTGCTGCACCCGAAAAAAAGGGAACACAAAAAATGATTGTGTGGCAGGGCATATCCTTGCCGTTGCCTTTGACACCCAGGCGTCGTCCGTGTGTCCTTCTTTCAGTTTCCTTTTGGCCTGATGTAGACATTTAAGAAGCACTCATTGTCAGTCCTTCCACACTCTGTGTCTCTCTATGTGTGTGTGTGTGTGTGTGTGTCTGTTTGTGCCGAAAAAAGGGAGAGAACCTTCTAAGCCAAACGAACAAAAAAAAAGAAGCGGGAAGTGGCTCTCAGGTCCTTTGATGGTGCTGCCAAAAAATATTACCCTCGAACCCCAAAAGTCACTGTTGAAAATTTCTGCTAGATAAAGGATGATTGACTTGCAGGATCAAGTTTGGATTGAGGCAAATGTTGCGAGGACTCCTTTCCATTTATTGCACACACACACACACACACACATCGAAATCTAAGAAATTTCCTCTTTAAACTTTAACTCTCATTAAAGCTGAGTTCTTTCTCAGTTCTCAGCTTAAAGATTTCTCGCAATTTGCATTGATTAACCCCTTGATCCTCTTCTCTTACAGAGCCCTCTCGGACTGTCCCACGCCCACGCCTTCGTCGGGGCGAAGGGCCTACAGCGAGGAGGACCTGAACAGGGCGCTGCAGGATGTGATGGCCAATAAGCTGGAGCCCCGCAAGGCGGCCCGCTCCAGCCTAATGAACAAGCTGGCGCACCACGAGCTCGAGCAGGAAGAGCCGGATGAGCCAGAGGACTCTGCAGACGAGGCTGAGGTGGACAGCAATGCTTCCACCCCGGCACCGCCCTATCCAGAGTTTGACCAACGCATCGCGGCCACGGCCCAGCTACGCAAACTGAGCAGCCACCTGTCCGAGCACAATGGCAGCGAGGATCTGGGCGAGGATCTGGAGAGCGGGGGTCAGCACTCGCCGAAGCTCTCAAGGATCCCTGGCCCCGCCAATGCGGTGGCTCCCGGCGGCCTGCCAATTCCCATCGATGCCAATGTTCTGCTGCACACTCTCATGCTGGCGGCTGGCATCGGTGTGATGCCCAAGCTGGACGAGACCCAAACGGTGGGGGACCTGATCAAGGGCCTGCTGGTGGCCAATACCGGGGGCATTATGAACGAGGCGCTCATGAATCTGCTGGCCGCCAGTCAGCAGGAGAACAGCAATGGCAATGCCGCCAGCTTGCTCCTGCAGCAGCAGCAGCAGCAACACCAGCACCAGCAGCAATTGAATGCCTTTCATCATCGCCTACCAAAGTCTGAAACGCCCGAGACGAGCTCCTCCCTGGATCCCAATGAGGCCAGTGAGGATCCGATACTGAAGATTCCGTCCTTCAAGGTCAGCGGGCCGGCCAGCATCTCGCCCAGCATCAGTCACAGCCACAACCACAGCCACAGTCACCATCAGCAGCATCAGCAGCAGCAGCAACACCACCAACATCACCATCACCACCACAACAATCACAGCTCCCACTCCAGCAGCAATAGGAACGGGGGCAGAGAGCACAGTCCACACTCGGCCTCGCCGATGCTGGCCGCCGCGGTGTCCAACAGCAGCGCCGCCAGTGCCGCCGCTGGTCTGCTCTCGGCCTCGCCCACCTCCATCCAGAAAATGATGGCCAGCAACATCCAGCGGCAAATCAACGAGCAGAGCAGCCAGGAGGCAGCGGCAATAGCGGCGGCCACATCCAGCAGCAGCCTGCGCAACGGCAGCACCAGTGCCGGCAGCGACTGCAGCAACAATGGGGCAGCATCCGGCAACAACAGCAGCAGCAGCTACAAGAAGCCCAGCATTTCGGTGGCCAAGATTATTGGCGGCACGGACACCTCCCGCTTTGGGGCATCGCCGAACCTGCTCTCCCAGCACCAGCATCACCATGCGCACCTGCCCGCCGGCCATCATGCAGCAGCAGCTGCGGCGCACTCCCATCAGGCGCAACTGAGCGCCCAGGAGGCGGCTGCCCTGGCAGCGGGCAAGGGAACGCGCCCCAAGCGTGGCAAGTACCGCAACTACGATCGGGACAGCCTCGTGGAGGCCGTCAAGGCGGTGCAGCGCGGCGAGATGTCCGTGCATCGGGCCGGGAGCTACTACGGCGTGCCCCACTCCACGCTGGAGTACAAGGTTAAGGAGCGGCACCTGATGAGGCCGCGCAAGCGCGAACCCAAGCCGCAGCCGGACCTGGTCGGTCTGACGGGACCCGCCAACAAGGTGTGTCCGGAGAAGCTGAAGCCGGGAAACCACATCAACCACACGGGCAACCACCACGGCGTCGGCGGATCCAAGCTGAGCAATGCCCTCAAGAGCAACTCCTCCTCCCAGGCGGCAGCGGCAGCGGCGGCGGCTGCAGCAGCAGCGGCCTCAGCAACGGCCCCCAATGGTCTCAAGCTGCCCCTCTTCGATGGGGGTGGACCGCAGTCCTTGGCCTTTCAGTCCAACATGTTTTGGCCCCAGCCGAATGCCGGCAATGCGTACGGCCTGGACCTGCACCGCATGGCGGAGGCCATGCGCCAGCAGACGAACCAGACGAACGCCCATGAGCGACCCATGAAGAGCGCCCTGGAGATAGCCGAGCACATGTACGATGGCATCATCCGCAAGACACTGCAGTCGTCCGGCGATGGAAATGGCAACGGAAGCGGCAGCAGCAGCAGCAGCAACGGACACGCCTTGGGGCATGGCCTGGGCCATGGCCATGGCAATGCGCTGCTCGATCAGCTGCTGATTAATAAGACGCCCCTGCCGTTCACCAATAATCAGAGCAACGACTACAGGGCCACCTGTTCGAGCGGTGGCGGTGGGGAACGCATCAAGCGATCGGCGAGTCCCCTGGGCGTCTATGCGGATATCAAGAGGGAGCGTCTGAGTGCGGATAGTGCCAGCAGCGATGAGGAGAGGGAGAGGGAACGCGATCCTGATCATTCCAGCAACAACAACAACAACAACAGCGATCTGGCGCACAACAAGAACAAGAGCAGGAACAGCAACAACAACGGCAACAGCAACAGCAACAGCAACAACAATGGTAATGGAAGGAGCCGAATGACCTCCAGGGACTCGGATGCCACGGATGCCAGCAGCCTGAAGAGCGAGCAGAGTAGGCACAGGCCCAACAAAATGATGGATCTCAATGGGAGCAACAGCAGCAGCAGCCAGAACGATGGTGACGGTGAGGGCGAGGCGACTCTGCCCAGTCCCAGTCCCAATCCCAGTGGCAGTCCCAATCCCTGTCCCAGTCGCACTCGCAGTCGCAGTCCTGGCTGCAGCAGCAGCGGTGTCGGCGGCGGCTCCATATTGCACGAGAAGCTGGCCCAGATCAAGGCCGAGCAGCTGGAGCAGCAGCAGTTATAGGATCAGTCGATGGCAAGGCCAGCATTTGCCTGGCCGCCGCTGGCCACACACTACTATAGCTTCTAAATAATACAAAAAAAAAAGAAAGAGGACGGTAAGGATCAGCAGGGATCGAGCAGGATCAGACAGGGTGTCCGGAGAGTAAAGCAAACCAAATTAAGCAACATTTTTTATAGTACATAAAAAATACATATATATAAAAGCGGAAAACAGAGCCGCCCCCTGAGATCCGCATAGAAAAAACAGCAAGAAACAAACGAAAAACAAAACATACAATAATGGCGCGGAATGTACGTGCGCACATTTGTATGTATTTTTGTTTCGTTTTTGACAATCGACAAATAGGCATTCTCTTGTACAAAACCAAAACAACAACAAAAACTTTCTTAACACAAACCAAAAACCAAGAAAGCAATCAATAAAAAAACAAAAAAAAAACACTACGTTAAACAACCTTAAGACCAACAAAAACTGAGCCAGAACCATTTTCATTTTGCATTTTTTATGACATTTTTTTCGGTTGATAGATATATATGTATATATTTTTATTGAACAGAAAACAGTCCAATGGGAATACAAAATAAAACAGAAAATCAGAAAACAACCAACAAACAGCAAAACAGCAGCCAGTCTGTGTGGGCAGAGGTCTATGGTGGTAAAGGGGAGAACTCCCGACATTCCATAAGCATACATACTTATGTTCTAAAATATTTTCCCCCTCACCAGGCACACACACTGTGCCTCACACAGACTTCAACGATAGAGACAGAATCGAGTATAACAGCCAATAACTACATACAGCAAAGACCACATAGACAACAACATCAACAATATCCGATCAATAACAATAACAACAACAACAACCAACAGCAATAACAAACATAAAAATAAATAAATAAACACACACCGAAAAAAACAGTAAGCAAAACTCCAATAGCAAAATTCTAAAATGAACTAAAAACAAAACCAAAATTCACCACAACAACAACAACATTCAACATTTTTTCTATAATTTCAAAAACAAACAAACAAAAAAAACAAAAGAAAAAAACAAAAAACGGAAATCAATAAACAAAGCTGCCTTCACATTTACAAATTAAATAAATTAGTAACAAATCGTAAGCAAAACAGAACGGAGGAATGTTAGGAAAAAGCACACAAAATAGTAATTCAAGGGAATCCGTAAAAAAGAAAACCAAACGCAGAACGACATAAATTCAAAATTGTATTACTTAGCCCAAAATTGAAAGCCCAAAGTCCCAAAAAATTAAAAACAAAATTCAAGCTTCACAGAAAAACACTAAGAACCAAACTCGAAATCAAAATACATTCCAAACAAACAATGGATCACAATTTCTTCAAATCAAAATTCCAAATTAAACAAAAAAAACATAAATAAATACCAATTTGATATCCAAAATCAAATTGAAAAATCCCCAAGACAAACTCACCTTAAAAAATTATATTTCAAACCCACTTCCGCTACATACATATTGAACACTAAATTTAGAAAAGTTTGAATGTTTCAATGTTTACATAAGAAAGAAATATTAACCAACAAAAATTATCTGTGTTTAGGCTTTAAAACAAAAATATAAAAAAAACAAGAATTTCGGCAAAAAAAAATGTATTGTGAAAGCACACATTTCAAGAACTAGTATAAAATTAAACAAAACAAAATCGTAAATATATAAAGACTTTATATGTATAACTATATATAATGCATATATATTATATATATATTTGTATATTTATGTATGTGTGTGTCTTCATCACTACGCGTATACCTCAAACCAAACAAAAACAAAAAACATGATCATTTTGAGCAACTGAAATACTATATATTTAAATGTACTTATACACTCTACACACACTCTTTTACAGGAGATCCCCCTAGACATACATATTTACACAGATCCAGATCCAGAAACCCCCGTTTGGCCAATCCCCAAATCCCCCTTTCGATATGTGTATCTAGCTTTCGTTTCGACTCTGAAATTCTATCCTAACTAAATGTCTGCGTAAATGAAAGTAAATAAAAGAAAAGAAAAATCATATATAAATGTACCTAAGGAAAACCGAAAAAACATATTTTGTGTGCTAGCTAGTAAGTGTCAAAAGAAAAACCATACAAAAATTATACACCATATATTTAAAGCAAATGAAAAGGAAAGCAAGGGAGAAGTGGTAAATGTCGGTAATATTGTGAACATGTTTAGTGAATTATTATAAAACTTAAATGAAGGAAACTTATGGAAAATAGAGGGGGAAAAAATATATATTTAAACATGAAATGGAAAAATTGTAAGCTTCTGTTCAGCGATCTATTCCATCGATGCTTTTCGAAATGAAACCGATGAGAATCAACTCACCGACGGAAAGACTTTTGAAAAAGAACATTTCCTATTCAATCGATTTCTATCATCGGTGGCACAGTGCCATTTTCATTGACACCGAAACAACTAATGAGAGTGTCTATGTTCAGCATCGTTGGAAGGGTTTCGTGATAGAGCAGCTTTAACAAAAATATATATATATCAAAATTATATTATAATTTCCACCAAAAATTATTCCAAATTTAAACATTTGATGTGCATAAATGTTGTGGTTTAGTATCCAAAAAAAATTTAATCATAAGGAGCAAAAAAATTATTGAAATTCTGCATTTGGTATAAAGGAAAAAAAAAATGAAAGAAAAAAAAACAACTAGTAAATTCTCTGCAAATCAAAAACTTTTTATTATATAATGGAAAAATAAAATGAGAGGAGGGGAAAGGAAAGCTAAGGCGAAGCGAAGGAAAAATAAATCAAAAGTATTTATTGCTAATTTAATTATATTTGAAGTATACATACATATTTATTATATATACAATACATATATATTAGACACACTATCTGTGATTAATAATCCAAAATTTTGAAGAGCATTTTCTGAAAATCATGTTGGAAAAGGAAAGGAGAAATGAATAATGGATATAAAAACACACACACACACTCACACATAAGACCCCATTGTAGAACAGATCGGATACAAAACCCAAACACACACAATAAAACCAAGCTTACAAAAGCACCAGGCAGGAGGGTCTACTGTACTCAGAAGAGCTCCTAAAAACTACATCACTACAGAACAGAAAGCCGAAACAACCGAAAACCGAGAACGGATCGAACCGAACCGATTCAAAGCTTATACAGTTGTATATATATTTTGGAATAATGTTTACTCAAAAACTAAAAAAAAACAAAAAGGAAAAAGAAATACTGCGAAACCAGCAACAAATATCCAGCTAAACTCAAAATTAATAAAAGATAAAATCATATATGAGGAAAATCTTTTATAAAGCAAAATTATACAAAAGTAAAGAAGAAAATTAAATACTTCAAACTATAAAAAAAAACACATTTATTTTCTTTGCTAGAAAAGAAGAATGTGAACAAATTCAGTGTAAACAAAAATCAAACTTAAAATAATTAATGAAATGATAAAGTGCAATTATACGGTTTATATAAGCAAATTTAAGAAGCGGACGTTAAAAATATATTATAAAAAAAAACACAATTTAAAAAATATTTCGAAGCATGTTTAGCTAAAAGAAAACAATTGAAAAGCAAGTTTTGCGTAGGCGACAAGTTATTAAAAATCAGTTTAAACAAAAACAAAGCATACAACATGAAAGTAACAAGCAAACAAAACAGACAAACAGATATAAAACAACCCAGCCTGGAAGTGCAGTGCGTTTTGAAGGTTGCTGTCCACAGAACGATAGCGGAATTTGTAAGGGCCTCTCGATGTTTTTTAAACACAATGTGAAATTGCAACTACTATTCAGAGCTTTCCCACTGTCTTATCGAACTGAAACGCACTGTATGCCTGGGTATGTTGTCTTTGGTATCACTGTGTGTCTGATCCAAACAGAGATCAGAAAACACAGCACAGAGAAAGGCCAACAAAAGTATACTATACCTTACCAAGAACAACAACCAGCAACCGAAATAGAAACAGAAATATAAACAGAAAAACATACATAAGTCGAGTCGAAAGACGAAAATGTCAACCTAGTGGTAGGTCTAAAACAGAAACAAAAACTAAAAAAAAAAAAAAACAGTCTAATGTAATTGAGTGACAGCTTGAGAATGTTGAATTGTATAGAATTTTTGCATACCCACCTGTGTAAAGGCGTGGAGGGGCGCGTGGCACCTGTCCACTCAGATCGCCCCCTCCCCTTGGGCATGCGAAAACGCTCAGGTACGTGTTTTATTTTTCGGAGAGAAAAAAGATTGATTACCCATACACATTACTTATTCTTTGTTTTACTACAACATAATAGTTAATATCTGTATAAAAAAAAGGGGAGTAGGAAGAAAACTAAAACCAACTTTGAATCGATATATTAATTTATGAATTGTTTAAAGTGGTTTATAAACAGAGAGAGGGATAGAAAGAGAGACAGAGAGAGAGAGAGAGAGAGTTTCTAGCGTGCTTAATGAAATTGCTCACATTTGTGTATAAAATCTAATTTGTTTTAATGCGAATCAAAATTTGCTGAATGTAAGTGCATATACGATACATATATAAATTAGAGCCTATATTGTTTGCGTTTAGTTTAGTGCATAAAAAGATTAAGATTAATTATTGTCTAAGCCGTAGGCAAATCGAAATTTCCGCTTATAAACCAATCAATCAACATCTTTTGTAATCATTATAGTTATTATTATTGTAATATTGTTAGCCTCGATTTATGGTTTGTATATATTAGACAACATTTATTAATGGTACGAGTAGGAAAAGGAGAGTATTCTTACCCACCCCCTACCCTTTTTTTTTTTTAATAATTATTACCCTGTGTTCTATATATTGATTTCTTAAATGGGCAAACATCATTTGAACTATAGTGCAATTGTTTCAAACAAAAAAAACCAAGCAACACCAACAACCAATACTATATTAAACATTAAAGATTAATATAATTGAAGAGCTTTCTTTGCCAAAATATGCCAAGAATGTGAATGTATATGGATCGTATGGATCCGAGAATCAAAAATCATTTTAAGTGCACATATTTACCTTTTTTTTGTTTTTAAGACTATCTATGCCTAGGTTTTCCGATTTCTATGCGCACGATTTCAATATGAAAAAGTAAAAGTATAACAAAAAACATACATCACAAAAACTCAAAACTTTTCTTCTTATATACTCTTTCAACTTGAGCGACATAACATCGTAAACCTGGTACAAAAGAATCAAATGAAATAATTTAAAGCAAAGATCATGAAACAATAGCCCAGCCGAGACAACAACCAGCAAAGACAACCACACACACACACACACACACACACAATAGCCCAGCCAAGACAACAACAAATATCAATAGACCCCCAAAAAAAATAATTGAATTAAAAATTGCAAACAAAACAAAACCAAACAAACAAAAACAAATCAATATATAATTAAATGTTACATTAAAATGAAAAGAGGAAAAAAGCAGAGCAGCCTAAAGTCGATTGTACTTTTCTTTTTTCTACCCACATAGACAGAACAACAACAGCAGAACAATTTTATTAAACAATAGTACTACTCTTACTACAAAACTTAAAATAGCCACAGATAAATAGAAATAGCCACAGCAATTAAACTTAAAGAAGAGACCCATAAAACACACAGCCACAGCTACAGGAGATACAAATGCAACACACATACAAAAAAAAACTGTTTTTTCATAGCCACATAACCAATAACCAACAATAGCCACATAATTAGAGCAACAGATCCGAGGGATTATATAGATTGAATCGACTATCCCTACAATAGACAAAAGATACAATCTATGGGGATAATATGTATATGTAATTCGGATCCCAGCAATAGACAGCAAACGACAGCCTCAGAAAAAAGAAAGCAGCACACGATCGAACTGCAACAAAAGGCCAGCAGATGATTACAAATTTCACATAGATAACAAATACATCATTAAAAAAACAACAATTTTTATTTCAATTATTAACTCTTACAACTCCACAACAATTACAGTTAAAACCATACAACCACAACAACAATAGCCCTAGACAAATATTAACCATAATTAATCAGCAGAAAACCAACAATTTCAAATATTAATAATAAGTAAATTGGCAAACAAACAAGAAAACAAACACAACTTAAATCTTAGCCAGGCAAAAAGTTTTGAGCAGAATTCTTTCATTATTTTTACAACAAAAAAAACTGACATAAGTACAATTTTATAATTACAAATGTTTGGGTAAACTACAGAAGAAAATAACTCTAATTTTTGCAAAATTAAGTTAAAAGAAAAACACATACTTTTTTTAAAAGGAAAACCACAGCCAATAAGCATATGAAAAATATAAGATTTCAATTATAATTAGCAATAGCCCATAAGTGCAGAAAGAATAAAAAAAAACAGTGTATTTAGCATTAAAAACAAAGACAGCAAAGAATATAAAATAGCAGTAACAAAAACTTAAGCAAACTTTAGTTCTGCATTGAAGAAACAAACAATCCAAAATATGTTTAATTTGATAAGTAATTTATACAATTTACATAATGAAATTTCGCATAATTTGATCTACATATTTAAATTATAATTTTAATACTTTAATTAATATATTTACAGAGAAATTGTTATAAAAAGAAACACACACTACTCTTAAGTTTATAATTTTCGTTATTTTCTATTATTTACTTATTATGTTTTAAACGCAAAAAAAACGACCGATTTATATATACAATATATATTTACGCATTAAACGTTTATTAATAAAACAAAAACACAATAAAAAAAACAACAATATTTTAGTTACAAATTTTACGTTTTTTAATTGATTTTTCTTACCACCACAGGAGGCTTTTATTTCATATTTAAACAATGAGAAAACCAAAACCCAATTACAGAATAAATAAGTGAAATATGCTATAGCAAATTAAGCACAGTCTAACAACTGCAACCAGATATCTATTACCATTATATGCAATAGTTTTAAACGAATAGAAAAGAATGAAAAAAACAATGAATTAAACAATAGCCCAAAGTAAATATTGGCCGTGATGGGAGACTCCCTGTCCTGCTAACAAGGCCAATATTTTCTCCATTTTCACATGCAAAAGATCAGCAAAGAACCAATTGGCACAAGACAACAATCAGAACAACCAACAGAACAAGCAGAACAACAACCAAAGGCAATTGAACCAAAAGCATTTCTTTCAGTTGATTGATCATAATTTCATATATTCAGTTCTTTCGTTGACTCTCAAGACTTTCGAAAACTGTTTTGGCGTAAACCCAAAGTCAAATAAATAAATGAAGTAACTATCACGGATGAGGCCAAGGAATCGTATATCTAAACTCAAAACAGCTTCAGGGACCAACTAAAAAAGAAGAGATAAATGATTTAAAACAACAAATGAAAAATATAACAAAAATTAAAAATTAATAAAGAACAACTGGTAAATTAAACCAAAATGTAAAGACATGGCGAAAAAAAAATTAAATTATCGTAAATTTAACATTTCCAGGCATATCTAAAAGAAAACTAAGAAAAATTCAAAAAAAAACTCATGCAAAATTATGGAAAAAAAATTCATATGTATGTACATATATAAAAGAACCCCCCAAAACCTTTGGTAAGCCATATACATCATATATATATTTAAGCGTGTCAAAAATAAAAATTAACCAAAATCAGATAAGTAATTCAGGCAAACTCATTTCGGAAGGTAAAAATTCTACATATAAGGCAAAAATGTATACGATGTGCAAGAGAAATTACAACTAAAAGTGGATTAGGTGTATAAGATATACCTAGATATTTGGCTAAAAATATAAAGGAAAATCAAAAAAAAAAAAAAAGAATGGAAATGAAATGAAACCCTTTTTGGAATATGTAGGAGAAATTATCCGTTCGCTTTGGTGTAACGTTTTGTGTAAATAACGTATGATTTTGTGAAAGAAGGAAACAAAAAGGAAATCAAGAATACCATTAATCCATTAAAAAAATAAAAGTAAATTCAAATTAGAACAAATTTTTGTCAACAATTAAAATGACCTAGTAAATGCTAAATTCAAATTTATATAGTGCACATGTATTTGTGTACGAATATACATACATATGTATGTACGTATGTATGTATGGAGTGTATTGCATAAGTTCGATGTGAGTATATAAAGATTATTATTAATATTATGCTTACCCTATCATTTCCAAGTTATTTTGTTCGTAACAAATGAGGAAAAAAACCCATGGAAAATCCAAATCCAAAAACTAATGATATTCAAAGCCAATGACGGGAAACAACAACAATAAATGTGCTGATGTGCTGAATGCCACAAAAAAGAACGACAACCAGATGGAAACATATTCGATTCCTTTCAAATGTTTAGCTAACCAAATAGATCTATGGCAAAATCATTGTAAAAAAGTATAAAAACAACAAGTAATGGGGTTGGCGGCAGATGAACAATTGCTAATGGAAAAAGTTACGATTTGTGTAAATGTGAACATAATGAACAGTAAACGATATAGCAGGTATACAATAATGGCCGAAATGAAACCAAAACTAAAGAAATGAACAACTTACCGCAAGGAGACAAAGCAAATACAAAAAAAAACACACACACACAAATGACACAAAAACAAAACTATTAACTTGTAACGATGTGAACTTGGAGCATACTTTCAGTATTTTTATGAATACTGTCAATAAAAATTAATAAAACATAAGCGTAGGACATTGTTTTTGATTGGGAATTGGGGGTGGGCAATACATAATGCATTTCGAATCTCACAAAAATCCCGACTTGAAAGCTGCGAAAATCCCTCGCCATCATTATACACCAAATCTCAGCTGAAAAGTTGGCTGTTCCCTTGAACAATGAATACATCAAATGAGTATAGCTGAAATCAATCAGATAAATTCAACTTTCGACAAAACCAGATGGAATTCAAAATATAGAAGAATTTTAACCAAAACAAAATTATTTAAAATTTCTAAATTTCGGATCCCATACTAAGTTTTAATCGATTTCCGATGATCAAGAGATTGAAATGCGACCTCAGTCCGGAGCTGACCACCTGCCTCAAGTTGGTGGACAAAGATCGATCCGATTGTTGCCGGATCCAGGACCCCATTCCGTACGATGGCGAGTGCTTCATGAAGGACATTGGCAAGGAGCTGTCCAAGCTCTACCGTCGCCATGAGCGCATGTTCGTTAAACGGCGGCGCATCATGGAGATGGCACTGCCAGTTCGCCGGCAATGTCGCTACGTGCCCAAGTGTGCGTGTCAGTTCAGCAAGACCATCGAGATTGTCCACGCCGACCAGCCCAGCTACACGCGCACGGAGCAGCTGGCACTGCCCACAGTGCGGCGGCTACTCAATCGCAGGCAGGTCGCCCTCAGCTCGGGCGACGCAATCGGCGAATCCATACTGAATCGGCTGCTCCGCTATAGCTATCTCTCGCTCTACAGTCGTCTGACGAACATACAGCCGCTAAAGAAACCGTAAGAATTCCTCTCAGACTCTTCACCTGCCACATACCTATTCTCATTCTCCGCCGTAATGACACTTTCAGAGTGAAGAAGAAGAAAACGACGAAAAGGCAAAAGGCTCGCCAGAATAAATTCTTCGCAAAGTTGGCCGTCCCGAAGGTGGTGCCGACACCACCAAAGCCGGTAAGTGATCCATTTGAAACAGAGTTAGTAGATGTGATTTTTAAATACATTCCGTCTTTCGAACATTCCTGCGCACCGCACAGGAACGACAAGTCAAGGAGATGAGTGCCGGTCGCCTTAAGAAGCTGTCGCGACCCAAGCGCTACGTGGAGGAGGTCAAGCCCCAGTGGGAGCTAACGGAAACCATGCGCAAATACAAGCCCACCAAACGCATCAAGATAATGGCCAAGCACCACGAGCGCGAGAATGTCCACATTAACGAGAATCCCGAGAAGGTGGCGCCCAATGCACTGACATACAAACGTGGGTAGCGCCAACATCCTCTACTTTCTGTCACTTTCTGATGATATCTATGTTTTTTCAGCGAGTGCCCGCATCAAGGAAATGTCTCAACCGCTCACAATGCACGAAGCGAATACAGTGCCGGCGGACATCAAGGAAGATCCCTTTGCCATCGCCCCGAATGCGCTCAAATACAAGGCCACGTCCCGCATCAAGGAGCTGGCCGAACCGAAGGAGTTCGAGAATACTCACATACGCGAGAATCCGTTTGCCATCTCGCCGGCGGCGCTCAAGGCCAAGGCCACGCCACGCCTCATCGAACTGGCCAAGCCCAAGGGCGGCTAAGGATCAATCTCTTTCATCCTTTCAGAGATTATTTATTTTTTGCCTATCTACGTTTCGATTCGTTTGGTCAATTCCATTTAGGATTAAAAGTTTATTTTTCACCAAGTGCTTGATCGGAACAATGACAGGTCACAGGGATCTGGGCAGGATTGCGGGTGATCCCGACTCCATTTCCAGTGCACTGTGGCCTGGCATTAGAACGGTAGACTTTCTTTCCCGATGCGGCCGCACTGCTGCCTCGGCTGGGCCAGTTTCTCCAGACGTGGCGTCAGCTTGGCGTGCATTGCCCTCCGTCGCACTGTGTAGGGCTTCCGCCGTAGCGTGGTGTCCTCCCGCAGCTTTGGCGTGGCCAGGTTCTCCAGCCGCGGAGTTAGCTGGCCCGGGAGTAGTTTGCGAATCGGTCGAGACTGGCTCTCCAGGGTTTCATCATCAGCAAGTGTCTTCTTTCTGGGCACTGCCAGCAGGTTAATGCGCTCAGTGGCTATGAGGGGCGATCATATGTATCTTGGGTCTCAGTGGAAAGATTCTAAGGCTAGTCCTTACCTTTGTAGTTCAGTGCCCGCTTAGGCACTCGGAAGGGATTGTGCAGCTTCCCGGCGGATGGCATCCTGCTGCTGGCCAACTTCAGCAGTCGTTCGCTGGGCTGAAAGGTACGCATCGACCAGGTTAGCTGCCAGGGCTGCTTGGCACTCACAATCCTGGGCGGCTGCTTGCTTTGGGCCAGCTCCCGGAGACGCTTGGATGCATCAGAACAATGCGATGAGGTACTACAATTTAGACGCAGATAGTTGCACAGTTGGGAAGGGCGGGACGATGAACTCAAACCAAGACGCGAACGATCACGGGCAGAGAATTCAAAATGTCTGTTTGACGCTTTTGAGGGAGCGTGGGAGGAAGACTTGGAAAAGAAGCTCGCGGTGGATTCCATCGGGCAGACTTTTGGGTTAATGCCGCAACTGGTGCTGCTGGGCACGACTGGGCGAAGGCCCCGCCGTTTGCCGCAAGCGCCTTCTGGCGGTGCATAGCTGTAAAGGTCCATGAAGTTATCCTTTATAGCATTCGCAATCCTGCCAACTACTTACGACGGCTTGCACGGCACACTGGACTTCTCCGCGTTGTGATATTTGTAGAAGAGCTGGCGGATGAGCAGCTCTTTCGGCGACACAAGCTGTGGACAGTACTTGTACAACTCCGCGCTCTGATTGTTCCATGGCCTGTGCAGTGCTTGAACTCTTTTTCTCTTGGTCGTCAGCTTGTGGTAGATAGGAGCGTGGATGGTGCTATCACTGATTCCGCGTTGGCACGACATAACATAGAGCAACACTAAAAACAGAATCTCTCGAGTTTTGCTTCTTTTTTTTTTGTTTGTTTCTTTGTTTTACTTAAAATTTAGACAGCTCTCAAAACTGACACAGTGGCATTTAAATAATAATTAATGTAGATTTGAATTTATTTTTATATCTCTCGTGCTCGACGTCGGAGCTTCGTTTCGAGTGGGGGAGCGTACGCGTACCCCACTTAAAGCGCGTTGCTATCACTTAAATTGCTTAAGCGATATGATCTCTGGTTATTCTGTTAACAATTTGCGGGTGGTAGGAAAAAATAATACATAATTACAGCATAATCGGGGTTCAATCGGCCAATCGGTAAAACTAAGGGAAAAACAGGACGGGGCGGGGCCAGGTATTGGACTAAACTTAAATATTCGCCAGAAATAATACTCATTGAAAACATAGGGGGAAACAGCATACTGGGGGAGGGGGAGAAACTAAAAACGAATGCAAATCTTATCATCTTTTAACAAATCAAATTTCGCTGCGGCAACAACACACAAAAAAGAAAAACTGTCTATTGTCTATGTAATAAGTGCGTGCCTTTTGGGGGGCCAATGTTGTTGCCTGCTTGCTGTGGAGTTGGAGTCCTGTGCTGATCGATCTCTGCCTGGGTCCAATCTCTTCTAGTGCAAATTGGCAATGACGGCGCGTGTAAAGTCCATTGTGGTGGACTGTCCGCCCAGATCCTTGGTGCGCACTTTGCCGTCGTTGAGCACCTTGTTGATGGCATTGAAGATGACCTCGCTGTAGGTGGGCAAATTGATGTGACGCAGCAGCTTCACGCCGCACAGCATCATGGCCGTTGGATTGGCCACATTCTTGCCCACGGCACCGGCAAAGGTGTGACGTGCACCCTAAGAACACACACAATCAAATCATTATCAGGAAACACAAACATCAGGGGAGACTTACAGGCTCGAACACAACCGTCTCCGATGAGTAGGAGGCACCAGCAACCACACCAGCACCGCCCACCAAGCCAGAGGCCAGGTTATCCACAATGGCACCGTACAGATTGGGGGTGACCATCACATCAAACTGATTCGGATTGGAAACCATCTGCATGGTCGTATTGTCCACGATCATCTTCTCGAACTGGATGCGGGGATACAGCTTGGAGACGTCCTCGCAACACCTCAGGAAGAGGCCGTCGCCCAGCTTCATGATGTTGGCCTTGTGCACGGCGGTGACCTTCTTGCGCTGATTCTTGGTGGCATAGTCGAAGGCAAACTTGGCAATGCGCATCGACTTCTTGGCAGTGATGATCTTCAGGCACTCCACAATGCCGGGCACCGATTCGTGCTCCAACGCCGAGTACTCGCCCTCCGTCTGCTCACGGATGATGACCGTGTCGATGTTGGTGTGTCGCGTCTTGATGCCGGGCAAGCTACGCACATGCACCACATTGGCGTAAAGGTCCAGATCGTTGCGCAGCTTCATGTTCAGGGTTTGTAGGTCGCCCACATTGCTGTAGTCGGGAGTGGCCAGAATGCCCTGCGATGAACAAAGGAATAATTTAATAATCGGCATTGATATCTCCTGGATTTCACAGGAACCGAACCGAACCCACCTTGATGCAGACTTTGTTCTTCTGAATGGAGGCCACCACATCCTCTAGCTTGGCACTCAGCACTGGGTTGATCTCCGACAAGAAGTAGGACTCAAAATCCACGGGCACATTGGCTGCCTAAGCGCGATAAGGGAACTTGGATAGCAAAAGTTTTAAGAAGAGACAAGGTTAGAGGTTCACCTTGAAGACTTCCTGCAGGGCATAGACGATCTCGGGACCCACACCATCGCCAGGAATCAACGTACAGGTCGTTCTATTGGCTCCATAGGTGGCATCCTTTAGTTTGCTGCCTGTGCGAACATCATTGAGGGACGATGAGGTGTGTACACCACGTGCAGCCGCCGCCTAAGGATGTTGCAACGAAAATCAAATAGTTAGCCCATCTTCTTGCTAGGATTATAACCTCAAATACGTGCATCTTGATATTCGCACACAGTGCCAACGGCAGCAGCAGCCACCGCAGCAGCATAAGCAGAATCGGCGCCTGCTGCTGCTGGCTGGCCCAAGTGTTTATGTAAGAGCTCGCTCGATGCGGGGGAGATTTACCTGCAAAGCGGTGCGTCCTAGGGTTCTGGCCAGCATTGACATGTTGCTCGTTAGCTTTCGCGTTACTTGTTACAGTTGTGTGGGCAAATTTTAAATTGACACTCGAAACTTTCGTGGATATTTTATTTGCAACCGAAAATTTCAATAAAAACCAATCGACCAGCTGATTGACTCGCCAGGGCTGGAGCAACAAAATACCAAAATAAAAACCACTCGATAGCTGTAGAGTTGCACATAGGCGGTTATCGGTTGCGTCTTCTGTGGCGGGCAAATTTGAAATTATGGCCTAAATACGAATTTTCAAAGGGGAACACATAGTTGAGTGGCTTTCAAAGGGTTATATCGATCGTTGAATTTTTAGAATAAAATTATATATCCTTTATGGAATAAAACATATATATTTGTCTCGGTTAAGTGTTGTTTGATTGAAACTTTCCCAAAAATGGCAATCTGCAGCTAATGGGCCCCCACATTACGGATCCTAAGACTCATGTCCTTTATCTAAATATAATTGGTATAATTGAAGCTAAAACAATCGTTTACAAATACAAATATACGTGATCTTTTGTTTAAAGTGTGTTCTCTTGTAGGAATTTTACATATTGCTTTGCATCTGCTCTATCGGTTATCCTTTCTTTAGCTCCTGAATTAAAATCAAATCAAATCGGGATTGGTTGGGGAACTGGGGCTGGGGAACATAATCTACAAATACAGAAGGCCGCTGGCGGCGGCATGGGACATCAGTGTGTTGGCAGCCTGCTGCATCTCCAGCATGAGGCGGACCTCCTTCATCCATTCGCCAGCGACCTTGCGTGGCGCACCCTGGAGCAGGTTCAAGTACTTCAAGGCCAGCAGAAAGTTGCTGCGATCCACGTAGTACCTGAAACACCACAGATGCAATCAGTTGTAGTCAGTGGTCAAAGAGAGTCCGAAGATGTCCTCACCTGGCCCTGTTCAGTATGTCATAGGTGTCCAATTTGCTATAGTCGAAGGGTTTGTTGTCGAGTTCGTCCGTGGATATGGGATTATCGGCTCGCATGATAAAGATCGATTGCAGATAGGACAGAACATAGATGGGCAGACTGGCCCCCTCTTCGGGCACCAGGGCTAGCCTCCGGGCCACACGCTCCACGCTGAGGAAACGCTCACGCAGCGCATCCTCGGGATAGACGCCGCGCTCTTGGGCCTCCTGTGGCATGCTCTGCAACACGGCTGCCACCAGATCGTCGCCCTCTGCAAAATATTTGCCCATAAGCATTCAGTTCGGATTCAGTGGAGTTGAATGAAACTTACTTGACACCTTGGCAATGGCATTGATCTCGTTCTTAAGTGGACGCAGCTTGTCTTTGTAGTTGGCGCCTGGGGTGGCATTGCGGACAGAAGCCCACAGGGCCTGGCAGGCAGCCCACAAGGCCTGGGACTGGTTGGCCGTACGCTCGGCATCGGCGCGGTCTGCGAAACAGAAAACAAAAGTGGGTCAGCAGATGATTTAAAGCTTCCTTACTAAGGGCGGGTTAACTGTGGGTCAAGTATACCTTGAAACTCGTCCTCTATCTCTACACAAGCGCAGCGTGATTTAAAGGATTAAACAAGGTTATATTTCTAGCAGGGAAACAGGGATCTAGCCACACCCCAGCCCATGACACCCCAAAAGATTTCGCATCGTGTGAAACTCACCTGCCAGGGCAGCATCCATGCCGCGCAGCTTGCCCAGCATCGTGGCCAGCTGCAGCTTGTAGTTGGCCTTCTCGGTGGCCAGCTTGTCATCCAGCTCACGCTTGAAGCTGCGCGTCAGATCCGATTCGCGCTGGGCCACAATATCCTTGATGTGATCGGCATGGGCCTCGGCCTGCTTCTTGAGCTGCATACGCAGCTGCTTATCGGACTCGGCATGGATGTGGAAGATCTTCTTCTGGTTCTCCACGGCCAGCTTGCGTCGCTCCGCCTCCAGGTGGTAGTCCAGCTGGGCGCGCAGGGCATCCGAATCGTTGTCGCCACGCACCGAGTCGATGGCCCGCTTCAGACGCAGCTCGCCGTCGGTTTGCAGACGCTGCAGCTCCTTCTGGTAGGCCAGGACATGGGTGTAGGCGTGGAGGATGAAGAGATCGAGATCCTCCTTGGAGAGATTGAGCTTCTTATCGGAGAGCTTTAGGCCGGGAAAGATGGCTTCGATTTCATCGATGAAATAGTTGCGAGCCTGTTCCACATTGCGCCAGTACTTGTCCGACACACTGGCCGTATCCTTGTGCCTATACAGCTCATCCTTGACGTTGGCAATGTGATCCACCAGCTTCTTGATCTTGTTGCGCACAGTCTCCACATTCTTGTGGTTCTCCGCCGTGGCCACTCCGCTCAAGGCAATCTCACACGCCACTGTCCAGAAACGAGAGAGCTGTCTTTCAATTGATACCAAATTATTTCATCATTTCATTTTTACCAATTTTCTCCTGAGCCTCGCGCGCCGCTCGCTCTGCGGTGGCAACGGCTGTGTCCCGGGCACTGGCACGATTCCTCAGGGTCGTCCAAAGCGTGTTCTCGCCCGTCTCCACAGCCCTGTCGACCACCCGACGCACATCCTCATTGAAGCTGCAAAGGAAATTAATCAGCCTCAAAATTGAACAGTTCCCAGTCATTATTTTCAGTCACCCCTTGAGCACGCCAATGGCAGCATTGTATTCCTTGACTGCCAGCTTGGCCGCCAACTCAATGGCCTTCTCCAGCTCGCCGACCTCCTTGGGCAGCGGTTGGGCGACCGCCTTGGCTGCGGCAGCTGGGGGCGCTGGAGCAGCTGCAGGTTTGGCAGTTTTCGTTTCAGTTTTCGCTGCTGGCGCGCCGGCAGGTTTCTTCGCCTCGGGAGCTTCACTCTTCAGATGCTGGACCTTGGGCTCCGGACTCGTGGGCTTGTCGCTGCTGCTGCTGCTGCTGCCACCGCCGAAGAGACCCGTCACCTTGGAGGTCACAGAGTTCACTGAGGAGCTGACCGTGTCGTAGCCAGACTTCACCTTGTCGATTTGTTCGCTGACACTCGTCGTGATTCCCTTGAATGGTTTCTCCTCCTGCAGTGCCACTTTGATCACCGCCTCGGCCCCGGGCACCTTATTCTCCACCATTTTTCGGAAGTCATCGTCGTACCTGCACGAAATGGGCCCCTGAATTGAAGTGTTCACGGCGATTATATGGTTACTCACTTGGCGTAGGTGATTACACCGCCGACAGCAGCCAGGGGGGAGATCAAGACCAAATACTTGCCGAAGCCAGCTTCTCGCATATGTGGGGGCGGTGGTAGACCATGTCCATTTTCTTGTCCACCTCTGCTGCTGCTTCCTTCCCTTCTGCTGTTGTTGTTGCTGCTGTACTGCCTGCCATTTGCTGTTGTTTGCAGGGAGCGCTAAGCGAAACAAAAGTAGTGGACAAGAGGTACAATAGATTTCGTTACTTTTAGCACGTCCACGTCGCGTGACCAGCCCTTGCCGGCCACCCAGAGCCTCGGCAAACTCGGCAGGATCAGGGTTCAGCTGGAATTTTGGACATTTTCGCATATTTCCTGCATTTGGTAGATGACATAACCAGCACTTCTTGTATATTTTGCAATTGGCTTGTTAGTGGGTGTGCGGGGAGCGGTCGGGGCTACGGCGCGGTCGGTGCGGGGCAACGTGACGATTGATTTTCGTCGGTGTTATCACATAACTCACCTGCAAGGCGCACTTGCACGGATCTCGAACCGCTAGCCGATACATGATTTGATTATGGAATTTTGTTTAATTTCGCTCTAGCTTGGTGCTGCCCCTGCTCCAGTTTTATGGCCGGCGGCGTGAATAATTTTTCCTGCCCGATTCTCTCGCAACGTTCAATACTGGCCTCTGCTCTGGGCTGGTGGGGTGTTCGCGTTGGTTGCTGAATGGCAAGCGGCGGCAGAGAAGCACACAACGTCTATGGTTTAAAATGTTGCTAATCTAATTTTCGCGCCACTACTAAAATATATTTTTATGTTTTTCTTATTTTAGTATTGACATAAAATCAAATTATTGCCAAAAAGGGATCGAAAGGATTAAAACTATTTACAGTTAACGGCAGTGCTGCCAACTTTTCATTAGGAAAAGCAGCCGTTTCTAGCTTGGAGAAGAGACAAAAAAAGCTGAAAAATTCCAGACAAAAGCCTTGTAATGTAAAAAACCTAAATGATAACAGTTTGAGGGAAACAGCTGAAGCTCCAGATAAGTAAACCTCACACCACAAAGTTTCACTGTCTTCCCATTTTTATAAATTCCCGCCTCCCGAAAAACAGCCAGATTTGACGGAAAGAAGCGGAATCGGCAGCACTGGTTATGATTAGCAAACAGCTGATTGGTGTTACGCGACGATTTACGGAAGGAAAATTGGTCATTAATTGTCGGTTTTCTGTATTAACCAAGGAAAATGCTGCGAACCCTACTCACAGGCGGTAAGTCCGATACATTTCAATTGTTATGCGTGCGCTAATTTTAATGTGTGCTTCGATTTATAGCCCTGCGCGGCGTGTGTCGTGTTCCGCCGGTAGCGCCGCTGGTGCAACAGACACAACGTGCCTGTTTTGGCCAGCTAATGACAACAATTCAGAAGCCCAGCCTCCTGTCCGCCCATACACTAGCACCAGCCTCGTTGCAGCTCCTTCAACTGCCCGCTCTGGGAACTACAGGATCACCGCCGCCCGTACGCAGCGTTACTAAATTCTCACTCATCAAGGGCAAACGCAAGACGGTGAAGGCAGTGTTGAAGCGTTTCAAACGTCTCGACTGGGGCGCCTGGATCCGCACACACTCCGGTCGCCAGAAGAAGCTGTTCAAGAAGTCCAACGCCCTGCGCCGCCGGCTACGCCAGCATGTCTTCACCAATGCCACCCAGAGCTGGCTGCTGGACAAGATGGTAACGGACTTTTGGCGCCGCCCCAAGCACTACATCGATGATCCGTATGCACCATACCACAAACGCGACGAGTACTTTGCCACCAAATCGAAAGCATTCAAAGTCTAACTCTTGATTAAATGCAATTAATTCGTTACACACATAACAATCATAACAATTCACGGGAATCAACATGAATTAGGGAGCCACAACCTTGTTGGTCATTGTGCCCAGACCGACGATCTCCGTTTTGATGACATCGCCCGCTTTGAGGAACTCTGGCGGATTGCGGTGCATGCCCACGCCTTTGGGGGTGCCGGTGACGATGATGTCGCCGGGTAGCAAGGTTATTGTCTGAGTCAATCTGTTGATTACATCGTCGAGCTTGAAGATCAGGTTGCAGGTGTTGCCGTTCTGCTTCTCAACGCCATTGATCCATGTCTTCAGGTTCAGATCGTACACGTTCTTGACCAGACTCTTGTGCACCACCGCGGGTCCCAGTGGCAGGAAAGTGTCCATCGACTTGCCAATCAGGAACTGGCCTCCATTGCGCTCCTTCTGCCAGTCACGGGCCGAGATATCCTGGGCGATGCTATAGCCAAAGACATAGTCCATTGCCTGATCCTTGGGCACATGGCTGGCGACCTTGCCAATGACACAGACCAGTTCCACCTCCCAGTCGATTTTCTGCCAAGATTAACATGGAATTTTCCACTTGTACTCTTCTGTTATCGGAGGTTATCTGACACTCTACATACGTCACTCGCCTTGTGGGCTATCACATTGTCTGTGGGCCCCACCAGGGTGTTGTTGAACTTGCTGAAGAACATCGGCTCCTTGGGCGCCGGCTTGTTCTGCTCATCGCAATGATCCTGGTAGTTCAGTCCTATGAGAACACGACAACACCTGTAGAACAGAGTTTCGTACCCCTGGGGCGCAATATTTACCTATGCAAATGATCTTGCCGGGATCGCTGAGGGGGGGCAGCAAGGTGACATCATCATTCAGCGCCAGCTTGGGCTGCTTTTGCACCTTCTGGGCCAGCTCTTCGATGTTCGGGTTCTGGGCAATTAACGCCTTCAGATCGTTAGGAACTCCCTCCACTCCTGCCAGCTCCACCAGCGATTTCTGATCGTCGGCGAGCAGGCCAAGGCGCTTAGCAAGGTCGCCCCTGCGCAAATATTGTACGAAACGCATTCTGGCAGCTAACATTTATCTCCTCCAGCCGTACTTTGTTATGTGTTACGATCGAACGAAATTTCCAGCAAAATGATAGCCCGTGATAACAGATGGTCGACCGAATCAGGGATGGCGTTGCCAGACTCGTGCAATTCGTAGTTGCTACGATAATTTCATTTTTTTCTTTGATACCGATAACTGCGTTTCATTATTTCATTGATAGTTTCATTATTTCATTGATAATTTCATTTTTTTTTCTTTGATACCGATAACTGCGGTTCATTATTTCATTGATAATTTCATTATTTCATTGATACCGATAACTGCGGATAATCGATAACATCGATAGTTACATCTGTGTTTCTCCAGCCCTAAGAAAAAACATAAAAAGCAAAAATAAATAATTAAAATCCAATGTTTTGGTCCTTGGAGCAGGTTGAGGGCATGCTAAATGTCCTCAAAAGTTCGACAGATCGAACTGTTGTGTACAAATGCCTGGTTAAGTTGCGCACAGATCTGGTGAAAGACAAGGATGGAATAGTTTTGTTTCGAACTGCTGGTGGCGTTCCCATAATGGTAAGTTTGAGAGCCACTGAAGGGTTTGACACGAACTGGTCATAGTCGGCTGGGCTATTTATTAAATATTGCATTTATTTTTTTAAGGTTCGTCTAATAACCAAGCTAAATGAAAAGATAATGGAAGTGGTTCTGAGTATATTGGGAAATTGCTGTACGGACGAGCAGGCGTGCATTGAGGTAAGTACATCACACTGTCACAGTTTCTCATTGTAATGTTTCCCCCTCGCAGGCTGTCGAGTGCAAGGTAATCTTCCCACTGGTGACTATCCTGAAGACCATACCCAATCCAGTGATTCAATGCCGCGCCTGCCGCATGCTGGGAAATCTGGCAAAGAGCAAGAAGGCCTCGCAGTTCCTCAATGTGCAATATGCGGCGATTGCTCCGGCCATTTGCCACATTATTGAATCCACAAGTTCGGTTCAAACTCGGATAATGGCATTCCGCGTTTGCCGCTTCCTGCTGGTCAGCAGTCAGTTCCTCAGGCCTTTTCTGGCTGCAAACGGATTCCTGCAGATGATGCGGATATTTGTGGGTGTCATGAAGAACACCGAGGCGCCTAAGGAGCCGCCAATCCAACCGGACATTGAGGTGTCGGCGCTGATGGGCCTGAAGCGGAACCAGCATCGCGAGAAATACTTTGAGGAGGTGGCCCGCAATCTGGAGGGTGTGCGGAGCGATATCTTCGACCATCAGATGTTGAAGCACTCGACGCGCAACTGCGACTTTGTGCTGCCCAAGGAAAACGAAGTCATCGAGCTGGCGCACGAGATACTCAAATGTCTTGTCTTGCTGTCTGCCCAACCGATCGGCCTGAAGGCTTGGGAGGTGAGTCCAAATCAGAATCCCTAATTCCGAATGAATACTTACACAATCTACATACTTTCGCTTTTAGCCCGTCTCGCGCAATACTTCGCTGGCATCGATTGTTTACTTTGCCAAGGAGGACAGCGACCAGCGAGCTTCAGCATTGAAGATTCTTTCAAACTTCTGCAAGGATCCCTGCGCCTTCTACATGCTGAGTACGGCGGATGCCATTGTGGCTGCCTGCGAGATGCTCATGGCTGTTAACATGGCAAAGCCGCTGACAGAGAGTGAGAACCGGCATTGCATTAATATTGTATCGACGCTGTCCACGGATGCCTGTAGTCGCTCGAAAATTCGACGCTGTGGAGCTCTGCGCAAACTGGTCGCCATGATCCGGGACTCGAACTCGCAGAGCGAGCGCTCATCGCTTTTTCACATCTTCAACAACTTTCAGTATGATAACTTGAGCATGGAGCTGTTGCTGTATGAGGGTCTGGTTCCATTGCTGGTGAGGGAACTGAACGATTATCTGGTCAGCGATGATGAGCACCATAAGCGTCGCCGCGAGGAGCGACTGCAGGGTGGAAAGAAGCGTAAAATTTCCGAACTTGCCACACAGGACACGACAATCAAGGTGGGACTATCTTTGAATGTAATCCATCATACGCATTGTACAATTTATTTCTCTTTGCAGTTTGCGAAAACTCTCGATTCCTCGGACTTTGACTCGCCCAGCAGTTCGCCGCGCTCCTACCGCACCACCAGCCCTTGCAGCTCGCGCAGCATGTCCCCATCCTCGAATCTTTTGGCCAATGATGACGATGACAACTATTCGCCGGCTTGCAGCGACGATGAGGACGAAGATGACAATTCCCCCACCAACAATGATACGCGAGATCGACGCATAGCCGCCAATCGTGCACAAGCCTCGAATGTCTTGGATATCCTAAAGTTAATTGAAGACGGTAGCGAACCCATTGACGACACTCTGTCCGACAAGGAAGACTTTGAAGAACTCAGCTCAGATGTGCCGCCTCTGATGTCTCAATTCCGACATCAGTCGGGCGACACCATAGACATCATTGAGAATCTGCTGTATCGCATTACCCTGATGTTGAATAAGCGAGTGGAGCTGTTCAAGCCGGAGACGCTGGATACGCTCATCAGAGCCATCAATTTGTTTGGGGCGAACAATAACTTTGCCAATGCCCTGACAAATATTTTGCTGTAAGTGAAATTCACTTACAATTTACTAGAACTTACTGTTTCGCTTTCAGGGAGAGCAAGTTCTTTGCCCAGATCATCAAACATGGCGTGGTCCATCAACTGTATCAGCTCACAAAAGTGGAAGAGGTATTGTACAGCTTAGTCATCAATATTCGCACACATCCATACGTACTGTATCAATCTCTGTGCCTGGTTTTTTGTAGATGCGCAAAGATGGATTTGCATTTCTGGAAACGCTTACCAATGTGGGCGAATCGAATTATGGCAAAGAAGAGCTGGTACGACTCTTGCGCTGCGACGATCCCCATGCCCAGCAACGTGCTGCTATATCCGTGGCATACATCATCAAGAGCCCCCGTCTGCTTTATCAGTTTCTCTATGACGGCAATGCCTTGAACTTGCTCTTTGAGCTGCTGCTGCGCAAAACAAGCGAGGATCTGTATGCGGATGAGGCAGCTGATGCTGTGACATCCATGTCACGGTTTACTCTGGGCATCTCTTTGCCGGAAGCTGAGACTGCGGACAGCACAGCTGGCATCTGCACTCGACAGTTAAACGATTCGACGCCAATGCATGAGAACTGCGATATGCGATTTATTGTGCACAAAGATGGCGACGACACGCACAGTATTGGCTTTAACAAGCAGCTGCTGTGCGAGAGCAGTGAGGTCTTCAACCGGATGCTCAACAGCGACTTTCGCGAGGGCCATCATGGCGAGATTCAGCTGCAGGACTATACGGCCTGCGGTCTGCGCTATTTTCTGCATTTAATGGGCTGCCACGAGCAGCATTTGGGCCAGCCAAATTACTCCGCCCTGATACAAGCATTCGAGATGTCTCGCGTGTATATTATACCCGATTTGGAGGTCATTTTGCAACAGCGTCTCGTCCAGTGCCTGGATGCGCACAACTGCCTGCGGCTGCTGGAGTGGGCCCTCAAGAACTACCACGCGGACCTCACGGAGACGGCCATCAACTTCTATCTGTCGTCGGCACTGCCCACGCAAGAAAAGCTTTTGCTTTTCCGTGCCGCCGAGGACTCGACATATGCCAGCGAGTGGTTCCAGCTGCTCAATGATGCGGTCATCGAGAGGTGCCGCAGCACCGGCTACTAAACCGCCACCACCTCCATTCTGTGATTGTGTTTTCATTTCGTTTTGTTGTGCGATGTGTGTGTTATATATATGTATAATTAGTGCATGTTCGTGTTTGTGACCCATTCCAGGATAGAAAAGGACAGACAGGCAGACCGCTGCGTGCATTTTACTCAATTTTATTAGCCACAGCCCTTGCCAAGTATCTCAATGTGCTCCAGTAAATTTTTAGACTACCAACTACCCAATCTTCGCGCCGCTTGTTTCATATGTGGGCATCGCACAGAACCGCAGGGTAAGCCAGTCCACGAGCGGCGTGGGACAGACACAAAAGAGCCAACGATACAGACGATATCGCCAGGGCTCGTGTATGTACAGCGCCGATGGTTGTGTGCTCGTCAGCGCGTCCTTGAACTTGGCCAGCAGCATCTCATCCTTCAGCTGGTTGGGCGCCTTGTAGCCCGAGACGATTTTCAGATAACCATTGAACTGCTCAAAGTAGACATCGTAGTGGGCGTGCTGCTCCGCACTGAAACCTTCGCGCATCCGCTGTGCGTGCTGCTGCTGGCGTGCCGCTATGTTGCTGTCCAGGACAAAGGAGCCGGGTATAAAGTTGACCACCTCCATGCCATACTGCTGCAGTTCGATGCGCAAGGAGTCCGTCCAAAAGCGCAGCGCCGCCTTGGAGGCGGCATAGGGCGCGAGAGCCGGCAGGGCCTGCAGTCCACAGTGACTGGTCACGTTGATGATCCGTCCCCGCTGCTGTCTCAGCAGCGGCAACAGCTGGCGCGTCAATCGCATGGTTCCCAGCAGATTGCAATTGATCTGCATCTCAATTTGTTCGGGCACCTGCCATTCGAACTCCCCGAAGCACATCACGCCCGCATTGTTGACGAGAGCCGTCAGCTGGTAGCTGGAATCCTCCGCCAGTATGTCCTGAAGTCTGTCATGCACAAGCCGTATGGAGCACGGCTGCAGCAGATCCAACTCTAAGGTGTGCATCCGCGAACTCAATTGCTGGAGCAGGCGTGCCCCATCCGACTGTAGGTTGTGGCAGCAGGAGACGACCGTCATGGCGAGCACATTGTGACAGTAGACAGCCAGGCAGTGGCTGCGAGGCAAAGCGGATATTAATTCTGTATATTGTGAATCAATTTGCTTACCCCAAGCCCGAATCACAACCGGTGATGAGTATTACATTACGGCCATCAACCGGTAGCTGGCAACGGCCCAGGCCCAATGTGCGTCGCAGGGCGCGTAAAAGGTGGCTACTGCTCATTGCGCCAGCTCTCGTATAACTGAAACAAAGACGCTGAAAATTCTGAAAATAATGCAAACCAGGCAAACCCGAAAATGAATATATGTATACACAATATGTACGTACGTACGTACATATGTGACCATTATCTGTGGCTTAATGGACGGGAGGAACGCTCTGAGTTTACCTGCCGCTTTAGACTGGTCCCTAACAGGGCAGAGCATTTAATGGACTGCCTTGTGTTTCACTTACAGATCAAAGTTGATCACTTTAATGAATTTATGGTTTTGTTTCAACTCTCCCTTTTCTTTTTAGGGGCCACCCTAATTTACCTGATCACTGTTACCTGCCGATCAGGCCCGAACAGCCTCGGACCAGCAACCAAACCCATTTGCAAGTCATGTGAGAATTACTTTTGGTTTCTAGAATAAATTCAATGTACAATTGTTTTTGTTTTCTTTTTAGGTTTTTTTCGGTAGTTTTATTTGATTTCTTTTTTGTCAATTTTGGTGTGTGTATTTTCTGCCTTATAAGTGCATCGTATCGCATCCTACAGTTTCCTGTTGATCAATTTTTTTTGTGTGTGGTATGTGGTTTGTGTGTTTTGAGTAAATGTAGAAAAGTAAGAACATAATTGCCACATGCTGGGGGCCAATTTATATTCTTTTACCTGATTTTGATCTATTGTTGAAATAACATTTTACATTTAATATTATGATCGATTTTTGTGTGTTCTGTTTATGTTTTTGTCTGTTTAATCAGTTTTTGAATAATACATTAATTACATATTAAATAATTGCTTTGCTTTGTCATTATTATTTTCTTATAAATTGTATTTCAAAATAGCGCTTTCGTTGCGTTTAGTAAAAATATATTTGGGCTCTTCTACTACTTTGCAGGCTTACAGAGTAATCGTCGTACAATAAGTATACAATATTTTTTTCTTTCTTTTTGTATGGTCATCATCATCATTTCACATGTGCTACGGCTTCAATATAAAACTGGCATCATCATCATCAATCAACGCGATTATTATTTAAGTTTTAAACATACATTTAGTATAATATTTATATAAATTTGTTGTTGCATTTCTTAATTCTCTCTCAAGGCATTGTATGTAGTTTGTTTTGTATTTCTTCTGTATTGAATATACTCGTACTCGTACGAGTCGTATGTATGTATGTACATATATTTTACGCAATCTTTTTTTCTTTTTTCATTTGTTTAAATGTACAATTTTAAAACCGGCTTAGTTCCTTTCATTACACGCTTCTTTTCGTTTAATTCTTTTGTTTGCTTTCTTTCTACTTTTTGTTTATTTTGTTTTATAATAAATATCACAACGCATCCTTCCACATCCATCGACTCTTCCACTCTCTTTCCATCTACTCTCATTTCGGTTTGCATTTTCCGGCTTGGCCGCTTGCGCCTCAAGCTGAAAAATGTCAGGCATACAACACGCTAAATATGCAACATATTGCCATCCAGCCATCGATCCTATCCTATCCAATCCGATCTGTTGTCGGTTGTCGTATGTATATTTTTGGAAAATATAACACGCAAATGAAAATGGGTTTCAAAATTGCACAAAACACTCCTCCGGCATAAAGACATACTCGTAGAAAAATCATAAATTAAACGTAATAAAGATAATAATACAAAAACATTAAATTTAACGGAAAACAAGAGTAACCTGCCACTCCGCAGAGCGGGCGGTTGGGCGGTCCTACGAAATATTCGTTACAGATACGATTTGAAAATAGAACGAAACGAAATATCGTTAGAACTAGCAAAATGTTTTGTTTGATTTCAGCACTCCCCTCCGCATCCAGCGTAAGTGTAGATACAATTTTAGTTCATTCATTATAACGTAGAAAACTTAGCTTAATTTTGACTTTGTTAGCGCCGTGCGTCTGCCTCCGCCACCGGCCCTATACCGGTTATAAGCTGACCAACTTGGACGGCTCGGTTGTGGGCGTGGGCAGCTCCAGCGGATGCTTGTTCTGCGAGGAGCAGTTGGGCACCAGCGGACCAGAGACGGGCGTCAGCCCAGTGCCACCGTCCATCAGCGAGTCAAAGTTGAAGGTGCCCGTCGACGGTGTCTGGATGGGCACACCCTGTATCTGCGTGGGCGCCCTGCCGCCGCTCACACTCAGCTGCATTGGGCCGCCGAAGGGCCGTTGGACGGCCAGCGTGTTGGGCCGCTCCTTGGGCATCTTGTTCAGAGTGTTAAGTGTGGGGCCGTTGTGGATGTTGCTGATGTTGCTGATGTTACTGATGGTGGTGGGGAAGCTGCCAAAGCTATGCGGCGCCGTGCCCGAGATGGGCGTCTGCAGCGAACCCGCCGGACCGGTAGGCGTCATCAGCGTGGCAATGTTGGGCAGCGGAAAGCAGCGCTTGTGCGGCGGCGGTCCGTCCTGGTCGAGCGAGGAACTCGAGTCAAGGGCACCGTCGAGCGGCTCGTCCTTAATGTGCAACAGCAGATCCTCATCGATTGGCACCGGCTTGAGATCGAGCGGCGAATTGCTGCGCCCGGTGGAGTTCAGGGTGGCATCGAGGCCGGTGATGGTGCCGCTGCTGCTGTCATTGCTATTGCTGTTGTTGTTGTGGTGGCTGCTGACGCTGCCACAGCTGCCGGCACTTAGGAGGGCCGCTGGCCCGATCAGCCCATTGCAGGTGGACACGCTGAGCATATCGGCACGCACCTTCTGGCATGTGGGACGGTGTGCCTGAAGGAAGTACTCCAGCTGGTTTTTCGTCTCGTTGAGCAGCTCCATCTCCTTCTTCAGGCTGTCGCCTCGCTTCTCCAGCAGCTCGACCTCTTCGGTGAGTTCGTTGGTCTGGTCGACGCGTCGCTTGCGACAACGTGCCGCCGCCTGCTTGTTTCTCTCCCTGCGAATGCGACGCTTCTCCTCCTCCTCGGGCGTCATATTGGCGGACCTGTTCGGACGCCGTCCGCCGCCACGACGCGCCGGTGTGGCACTGTTTGAGGTATTTGTGTTGCCCTGAGAAGAGCGTCCGGCTGCAGCCAGGACGTTGCTGAAGTTGTTGGCACCGCCGCCATTGCCGCCGCCGCTGCTGTTGCCCATCATGTGTCCATTCTGATAGGAGGTACTGTCTGTGGCTCCACTTGCTGCAAGTCAAAGGGAAAACACCCAATTAGTATTGCTATGGAGTTTTGATGATGATGCTGATGAAATGCTTACAAGTGTCGGATATGCTCTGATCCTCATTCAGTTGCCCATCGGCCCAGGAGGCGTTGGACTCCTCCGTATCGCTGCCGGGCATAACGCTGGCCCCGCAATCGAATACCTGCTGCTGTTGCTGCTGGCTGATTAGCGGATTGCTCACACCAATTATGGTGGCCGTTGTGGTCGTCGTTGTGGGTACCACCGACACCAAACCGTTGCCATTTCCATTGCCGTTGCCGTTGCCATTGCCATTGTTGTTGCTTACCAATGGGGCCAGCGGGGGCGGTTTGAAGCCGGCCTGATATGGTGCATTAACCACATCGTTGGTCATCTCGTAGAATGTCTCCTCAATGCTGCGCAGCGTGGTCGGCGTCAGCGTGGGCGTCGTCAGCGTTGGTGCACTCTGTATGCCATCGAATGTGCCGAGCTGCAATTGGATATAAAAAGCGAAATTAATCAAAAATGTTTACAACTTATTTCATGTCTAATTTGTTCCGAGAGGCAGGGCAAAGGAGAGAGGGCAGGGCAGACAGGGAGAGACAGAGAGAGGATGTGAGACAGAGAGGGAGATCCATCACTTGAATGTTTATATTTCTGTTCCATTGTTGTTTTAGTTTGTATACCCTCTAGGAGCATTTCGCCGACACGCGGCCCTTTACCCATACGATGAACAAAAAATCACAATTTTTCCAAAAACCCCAACCAAGTCGCTTCCAACATTTTGAAATTACAATTTTTGATTTTCCCCCCGTTTGTTTTCGATACCGATACACCCAATAGCGATACACCCACTACCGATATTTGTATACCTGCTGCATGAATAGCTCGCTGGCTAAAAAATTGGCAATTTCACTGGCATCCATTGCAAACTTGTCGCCATTCGTTGTTGTTGTTGAAGTATTTGTTGTTGGATTATTCGTTGGTGTAATTTTTGTTGGTGTTGCTTTTGGCGTTGGTGTAATTGTGGTTGCTGTTGTTGTTACTGCTGCTGTTGGCTGTTGCTGCTGCTGTTGCGGTTGATTGTAATTAATGTGCCCACAATTGTTGTTGAACTCTTGCTGCTGCTGCTGCTGCTGCTGTTGTTGTTGTTGTTGTGTAAAAAAGTTCTGCATTTGGCACATGGCGGCCATGGCGGCGGCGTTGGTGTTGGTTGCCGCATTGGTAAAAGATTGCCGCAGCTGATGCTGCTGTTGCTGTTGCAGCTGTTGGTGTTGGTGTTGCTGCTGCTGCTGCTGCTGCTGCTGCTGCTGCTGCTGCTGCTCGTAGGAGGCAGCCGGCTGCTGTGTGGGCAATTGTCGTTGACGTAACATTTGCTGCTCTTGCTGCTGCTGCAGCTGTTGTTGTTGTTGTTGTTGGTAGTATTGATTGGCAGCAGCAGCATTATATGGCCACTGTATCTGCAGTGGAGCGTTTTGCGTCAGGGCATTTTGTTGCGTATGAGCAGCATGTGGTGTCTGCTGCAGCTGTGTCTGTTGCTGTAGCTGCTGCTGCTGTTGCTGTTGCTGCTGCTGCTGCTGTTGTTGTGCCTGATGCAGCTGATGGAGGTAGGGATGGTAGCACGCATTATGCGCTCTACCATTAAGATTTTTCATCATTTGTTCGTTGTTTCTTCCTATCTATATCCTAAACTATCTCTTATATTTATGCTACTTTATCTCTCTCGTAATATTAAGTATACGCAATGTCAAATCACGTATACGCACAGTTGGGCGCAATGACTAGTATTCGTTATTCGTTATTCAACAATATAATGGGACAACAATGATATATTTATAAACATATGCTCGTACAATATTCATTCAAAAATCAACAGAAACAGATGCTAGTTTATGTTTAAATCTAAGTGAAAACTCTCTCTTTAATTATTAATATTTACAGCAAAAAGCTAGATCTTCTATCTATCTTTATATATGTATATATATATATGTTTATGCAGTATATATTTCCTATATGTTTGCTTGTCTTTATGGTTGGTGTTGTTGTTGTTGTCGCAGTAGTTGTTGTTGTTGTTCGTTCGTTGTATTTGGTTTTTTGGATTTTGGTTGTATTTTCGTTGTTTTCGACGTTTCCATAAAAAGTTTAGTTTCGTTTTTCAGCTGCGAACAGTGGTTGTGTTTCGTTTTTGTGACGTAGATTCGTTTGCTCAATACCTCAATGGCTCAGTCGCTTCAATCTCTCAATTGTTAAGTCGCCGCCCTCCGTCTTCCGGGGGTCTGAGGCGCTTTACGATAAGCATTGGCTGATTTCGCAAAGGATCGAAATGAGTATTCCACATAATCAACACAGCAATAATTATCGTGCTCAAGGCTTTAAAATCAAGTGTGACAGACACGTGTTTGTATATGTATGTAGGTAGAAGGGCTTTCGGTTTACGGATTGAGCCTTGCGCCAGTTTTCGGAGCACAGCATTCGATTCGTTTCGATTCTCATGGGTATACGGCGGGCAACGCCTCTCAAAACAAAAACAGAAAAAAAAACTATTCCTCTGCCTTTTGCTTTGGGCGAGCAATTCGCTTTTATTTTTCGTACATATATATATATATATATATATATGTAGGTATGTATTGGTGCGATGTATATATATTGCTATCTATATATATATATAATTATATAGCCAAGCAGCTTCTGTTCGAATCCACGCGGCATGCAACGTAAACTGAGAAAATGTGCGTCTCGCTTTATTCTTTGCTTCCTTTTGTGTTGTGTGTGTGTTTCCTTCGCATCTATTTGATTTGATTTTATTTTTATTCTATTTTCATTTTATTCCTCGATTCGTTGTGTATTCCGAAGATTCGTTTTTGGCAATGCACACGCGCGCGCCACAAAACAAACAGCAGCAAAAAATTTGTCAAAAAAACAAAAAACGAGCAGAAAAATCGGCGAAAAAAAAACAATTGCAATTTTCGCTTTTCTATTGCTGCTTTTTTTTTTTGCTTTTTTGTCTGTTTCGAATTTCCAAATTTAATTTCGTTTTGTTCGCTATTCGTTTTCGGATTTTTGGTTCGGTTGTTCGGTTTTTCTCGAGCAGGAAAAGCGCGCGCGCGATCGCCTTTTGGTTTTTAGTTCTCGAATATTTTTCTAAACTTCGATGGTTCGTTGTTCGTTTGCGACTGATTCCGGGGCGAGCGAGAAATTGGCAACGATCGAGAGATCTTGAGATTGCGATTTATCTAGAGAACAGCCAGCAGCAGCACACACACAGAATCCCCAGAGAGCAGAGAGCTGTTTGCTCAAATTAGAAGACAACCCAACTAAGAAAATCAAATAAATTTAAATGCTGGCTGGCTGCTCTTAATTGAGCGGCAGCCCACACGGCGACATGTGGGGCAATGCAGGGCAGGGCAGGCAATGGGCAGCCCACGCGAGTCTTGCCATAAACATTTTTATAGCAGACACATACATACATATATACATACATGTGCCATACCCCCCATAGATGTTATTTCCGATCTAGCGGATCTTAGTCTTTCCCTGGAAACGCTTTTACTTTGCCATAAATCATAATAATTAAAAAGGCCGAAATGAAACATTCAGCGCAAGATTTGGCAAGCGTTTTTTAGCCAATTTTCCGAACTTAACATAACATTTATTTATAGCAGAATTGTCGTCTGTCACATCTGACGATGAGATGGATGTGTGTTGTGAGCCCCAACAGGTGTGTGCACGCGTGAGGGGAACAACGAAAGCATTCCTGCAGAGCAACCATAGAGACCCCCTGTCTTGCAAATGGCATCTAAACACAGGGTATTCCTTGGTGGGTAGGGTATATTAACTTTGTGTGGATAGAAGTGGAACAAAGACTATATATTGTCTCGCATTACGATCGAAATAAAGGCGCTATGATGAAATAATTGCACACTTTGCTTTTTCATTTATTTTCCTTTTGTTGTTTAGATTAATTTTCAAATTGTGAATTAAGTCATTTCCATATTAAGGAAACATCTGAAAGCAACTCTACCTTGTTTTTATTTCCGTCAGTTCACATCCGATCCATTACCGGAGTTTACGATATTTTTATTGACTGATCTTATCGGAGGAGTATACTACATTGCCCAATCCAAAAGGCCATTACCTTATTGACAACAACATTCTGTCGTGTGGTGTGGTGTGGTGTGGTATGGTGTATGGTATGGTGTGTGGTGTGTCGTGTGTGGCAGTGACAAACAATCGATTTTATTCTTTGTACGCATGTTTATTTTATATTTATTTATTTTATATATATTTGAGCATTTACTTTTGAAGAAAGCCGCCGTTCAAACACCTTTTCCACGTTGTCTGGTCGGGTCTGGTCGGGTTGCGTCGGAGACTTTCATTTTAACCTACTTTCGAATGTAAATTTACTTTTGCGAACTTGTTCCCCAACAGTATGAACATGAACTGTATTTGGCCGATGAATCAGTCAATTTAAAATATATAAATATATATTATAACAAATAATAACCATAATAATATGTAGTACGAGCAGCAGCCGCAGCAATTGTCTAAATTGAAACGGGGCTCAGAGTCAGAGTCCCATCAGCATCAGTAGACGTCTCTCTCTTATCAGAGAGGTCTGAGCCCCCAGAGTTCAGATCTGAGGGTCAATTGAGCTGCGCCAAAGCGTGGCAAATGAAATGAAAAGAGCACGGAGGAGGAAGGGAACAACGAGAACCCAGCACACAGAACACTACTGACGTAGTCGCCATAGTTAGCAAATTGCTGACTAATACATGGGTCTGCTGCTGCCGCTGCTGCTGTTGCTGCTGCAAATTTGATTACAGTGGGACTCAACACAGCTGTCTGCCCACTAGTACATACAGTGGGACATTAGCACTAAAAAGAACTGCGATTTGCATATCCCCACCTATGACCTTGACTCTAATTAGTTCAACATTTATTTTCTCTCTCTCTCTCTCTCTCTCTCTGCCAAAATATTACCTCCTGGAGGGGTTGGGATGATGGGTGATGGTGGTGCAGTGGGAATTGGCAACAAGTTGACAGCCACAGAAATATCGCATCGACTTTTGCCTTCTACTACGAGTCCGTTGCGAGTGCGAGTGTGTCTGCGTTTCAGAGCTGACGTGTTGACTTATTTTTAGATCAATTTTAGCCTAACAATGACGTAATAAAGGCAAAATAAAAACAACAAAAACTTGGCAACATCAAAGGCGAAAACAACAACAAGAAAAAAAAGCGAAAACACAGTCGACAACAATTTGTATTGTTTATATCATAAGTGGCGTTGAATTATTATTAAGTGTTGAGGAAGAGAGAATCAGCTGTTAACTGCCAATGTTAATACCCCAACAGTGAGCTGTTAGGATACGCTGTCAACTGTTTACAGTGAAATGTTAGTGCTCTGGTACAGCCTGTACCTTGCAATTGTTTGCTTAAATCTGTTTCATGATGGATATCAAAACTCTCACAGTGTATACCTGAATATGTATAGCCAGTAGAACTATCGCATGATTTTATAGTTTAAATATATATCTACATTTCACTAGTTCAATAAATTAATCTATTCTATTCAGTTCCAATTTCTTTTCCTCGTTTAGCACTCAGCTACAATCCCATGCTATCGCCACAGCTATTCTCTTTCCAAATCAAGATCGAAATACGAAACACAATTTCGCATTTGTTTTAACGCTATTTTCTTGAGTTGTTTCTATCGGTTTGTGGCTGTTTTAGTTGCTATGTATTAGTATTGCAATGGCATAAATTAACTATCTGTCGAGCTTGTTAAATACAAAATAACAAAAATTGCACCGATGAAGGTTACAGAAAATCCTCTGAATGTTGCTATTTTGCCCCGCCAGTTGTTTAGTTAGAAATGCGCATAATTATAGTACATAGCAGCAGAAACAGAAAATATATATTTATTGTATTTTTCAATTGGCAAAGACTTTAAATGCAGCTCCAAGCAGCGCAGCATAGCATTGTGTTGTGCCTCAATGTTGTTGCAATGTCACAAAAAGAAAGAAGCAAAAAATCAAGACACAGAGAGAGCGAGAGAGAGAGAGAGAGATAGCGAGAGAGACTTGAAAAGTTGACAAGTTCAAGTGCGTTTCGAGTGTTTCTTTTGGTTATAAAAGTTGGGTGTGGGATTCTATATAAATGAGTATACTACATACTATAAGCAGAGACTTCCCTTGACGATAAGCATAATTTCAGATATATGTATGTATGTATGTACATATCGTATGGTAGTTATTCCTGTACGTTTCTATATAATTTGCATTTGCGAATATATATGCAAATATTCTGCGAATAAAACAATTAACGCAAAGGAGAAGGCAACGCAACAGAAATCATATCTTATTTTATTATTTTTATTTTTTTGCATGAACGTGACCGCAATGCCAGAAAGGAAAGAGGAGTGTGTTGACTGAGTGCCGGGTGTGTGCTGGGCCTCTCAGGCTCTGTTGATAAAGCCGTGTGTACGTATATCCCCCTGGAGCCTCGTGATCCAAGAATTTTTGGAGTGCCACAGAGTCAATGCCCCGGGGCAGCGATGGACAGCCTTTTTTAGGCACGCCACAACAGCAGCGGCAGCAGCAATGGAAGCCCCTTGACCATATCGTGCTTATATAACATACATATATATACATATATGTATGTTAAATATGTATATATCCCCAACACAAATTTTCTGTCTGTGAAGAGCAGCGCCGTCATTAAAATCACTTGAGGTTTAACCATTTTTGGAACGCCCCCGCAACAACCAAACAAAAAAAAAAACGAAAATTGAATTAAAGTTAAGAAATTTGTTGAATTTTGTTGTTGCTTATATTTTATTTCAACTGCCGGACAGAGCCCGCGACAGAAGCCATAATTCAAAATTTGCCAAAAAGTGCAGCAGAAAAAACATTCAACCGCAAAAAAAAAAAAACAAAAAACAAAAAAAAAAAAAGA